GGTAAAGAATACAAAATTGCTTGACAACCAATACGCGCTCGTTTTGACGCGCTACTGTGATTTCACGAACTAACACAATCTACTTTGATTGTGTTAGTTCGTGATGTGAGCGACGAAATAATGAAATAATAATTTTTTTTTAAACCACACACACAAAGGATTAGTTGCACTTAAACAATAATATACATGAAAGGTTATTATACAATATACAGAACAATATAAATATACTATCTCTGAAGAGTTGAGTTAATTGAATGAATTATGAACAAAATATTTCCTGTGTTCGTTGTCTTGCATTTCAAAGGACGGAATCTACCTGAGTTAAACGTTGTTTAATGGGTGTGAAATGTCTTTCATAATTTTCTTAACTTGGCTGATGACATCACGTTATATATCTCGTCGATAACATTAACATTTCTGCCTATTATTTTACCTGGAGCTTTCATTGTTTTATAAGTTTAGTATTATTATTTACACTAAGACTACGGTATTATACCAGACTACACAATTAAAAGATAAAACACTTACAATAACACTCTAATAAAAATATACTGTATGGTATACATTTAATAATGTATTATATTTATATTGCACCTCACCCAATAAAAATTGTTCAGTTAAAAAAAAATTCATGAAAAAGCACATTCACAATTTTCCAATGAAATTCGTCGATTAAAAAAATACCACATCAGAACACATACAAACATTTCACAAAATTTTATCACAACATGAAAGAAAAAAAAATCCGTATAGCTCTTCCTCCGTATACCTATATTCATTCATTCATTCATTCATTCATTCATTCATTCATTCATTCATTCATTCATTCATTCATTCATTCATTCATTCATTCATTCATTCATTCCGTTCGTTCATTCCTTCATTCATTCATTCCATTTTAAGCGTTGGTTGTTTCTAGTACACGCTTAAGTCATAATTGTTTATAGGAAGATGTCACCTCTTACCTAAAGACTGTGCCTTGTGAGATGCCATTGTAAAAATGTGTCAAAATGTTGAAACATTCTTTGCCGATGTAAAATTTATTGATGACCTCATGGTTTGGTTTCAACTACGTTATGCAGTCACTGGTGACACAAACTAACTAACTAAAAGGCTCTCCCCTTACCTCACAATAGGAGAACCCTAAGCCGCAAACGACGATTTAAACAGATTTAACATCTAACAACATCAAACTTCCCTTTAATGGCATGTATTTTGTCTCATCTCAAATTTAAAAAAAATTAAATATCATATTATTATTATGAAATCAAAAGATGTGGTATATAGAGAATTGAAATAGTATGTAAAAAATAGAAGAAAAAAAACCTTGTCGTTTCGTTTTGATATACTGTACTGTGCAAAAATATAACACTTTTATTATATTGAAGTGTCACAGTAAATAAATCTTTTGATTGTGAAACAGAAATTTGAAAGGAAATATTATACGCCTATACTGATTTTCTTCTCCAGAATACATTGACTTCTCCCTGGTAGCTATCGTAAATATTATTATCCAAGTTATGTTGACAAATAATTGAAGTATAGTAACTACAGTAATTATTGCTATATTAAATTGTTATATATCATGGAGATTATTTATTTTCTCCATAATTGATAAAATTTTAATAGGACTGGGGCTTAAATATTTAGTAGCAGTATCAGTATCAGTAAAACCATGGAGGTATAGAAATACCTCGATGGTAAAACTAGTCTCGTGTGATATGAAAACAAAATGCTTTAAAAGAATATTTTAATTGGCTTATTCGACTGGTTCATTTTGTTGAGTACGAATTTTCGTTGAGTATTATTTTCATTCGACCCAGTTCGTAAAATAAACTTCGTTGACAAAAAAAATTAAAGCAACCAGAGTGTGCGTTAATCAGCGTTAAGTTATGCACGTGACCAAAAAAATATGGCCTATTGGTCATTTTAGCAACAAAATTTGCGTTAATATAATTAAGATTAAATTTCAGAATAAAAAATTATATTATTTACCCACGTTGAAGTCAAAAAAATAGTTGTAGGTTAACAGAATTCAAAAACTGGATGAAAACATTTTTTTTAACGTAAAACCCATAGTGCCACAATCCGAAGCAGCGTGTATCGTGGTAACTTTGCAGCCATTGTTTGTTTTGTCGAGTATTTACGTACCAATCTATGGCGTGGTTTAACCATGGTTTAACCATGTTAACGAAGAACGACCATCGAATACGGCCAATACGTCAAAAGCATGAGGGCAGGCTTCTAACAACAATAGAGAAGTTCCATAGCAACGTAAAACATCGAGTAATTTCATTTCGATAGAATCTGCATCTCTAAAGTGCCGATTATTCTGAAACAAGTAAGTAACTTTGCCAAATAAAAGGTGTGAGCTTTCTACACATTGTCATGTTTATGGTACATTATAAAACCAGGGATATACTTGCGACATTTTAAGGCCTACCACGACTTAAATACTAGGCCTACTAGATAGAAAACACTCACGACCGACGGGTGGGTACCTAGGCCTACTGCCGACTGGATCCGTCTGCAGTTACTATGGATTAGACAAGGCCTAGCGTGGGCCTCATTCATAAACTAGGCCTACATACATAGGCCTAGAATAGGGCTTAAGCCTAGTTAGCTTTTAAATTGAATTTGGATTTTTTTTAATTTGATCGGGTTAGGCCTAATAATTACTAGGCCCCTACCTACAACAGTATTAATTTGTGATATTATTAATTGTTAAATAATTATGAATTAATTTATTATATACTAGGCCTACCGTACCCTAGTAGGCTTAGGGTAGACTAGGGCCTAGGCCTAGGTAGGCCTAATTAGGCCTAGGCCTAGTGCCTAGTAATATTAATTTTTATAATTGAAAGCCAACACTCATGACTAGACTAAAAAAAGCCTATATAAATTTATAAATATATTCACACAATTACTTCTTTAAAACCATTTGTATTTTAATCTTTCATTCATGACTTTATTGTTGCAGATATGTCCACTGAACCACCAGTAACAGATGGCTCAACTGATGCCCAAAATGCCAACAACAATGGCAGTTTCTCACAGACAAAGAGTGGAATGAGCGGGACAAAACGATCCATACCTTCGCCTTTAACTAGCGCCAAGAACAACACTGCAATGGACAACCGTAACATGAGGAGGATCATAGCAGAGGACCCCCACTGGTCATTGGCTACAGTCCCTCTGTTAACAGAACTTTGTGTCACACATATTGTTAATAATTTTGCTGGTAGAGTAATTTTTATTATTTTATTTATTTAATAAACTTCTCACATGCATGAATAGAAAAGTGATGAGCTCATTACAGTAAAAATACAGAAATAGAAATATAGATGTAAAAAAGTGACAGTGCATACACCGAAACAATAAAATTTGAAAATAAAAAATAATGAACGTCAGGAAGTATTCTGAAGGAAAACAACCATGACGACAATAAAGTAAAAGATAAATCATTAAAAAGAATAAGAAAAGAAAAAAGTAAAAAAACAATAAAAAAGAATAACAGTAAAAGGCAAAATAAAAATAATAAAGTATGAAAATATAGCATATATGAAAAATTGCCACTGATGAGCATAAATCAAATTCACCATTAAAAAAAACACCAGTAATATTTTTATAGTGTCATTATTTTATATAAAAGATATGCTGATCAAATTTGGAATAATTGTCATAAGCAATATAACTTACTAGGTACAAAGCACATGCAGTGATAAAAAATTACGACTGGTACAAAATCATCATACAAATTTAAATAAAATCAATCATATTTTGGTAGTAGTAGTATTTTTTACCGCTTCCAGGCATTAATTTTTTTCCACTTATTAAGTATTTTTCCAGTACAATTAACTTTTCAACTATTATTCTGATAACATGAATGCTATGTTCATTGCATTTTTTGCACATCCACAGAGCACCCAAAGTTAAATGAGCTATTACCAAAGTACAAGGATAAAGTCTTGGAAAAGATTTCGACAGACCTACCTTTACCTGTTGTAGCACATCTAGTATCAGATGAGGGCTACTGGCAGAGAAGATGCAAAGCTACATGGAACGTCTGCGATGTTTCCAAGTATGGACAGAGCTGGAAAAGGATGTTCTTTGAGCGGCATGTGGAGTACATCATAGAGCACTTTGTCCCTGAGAGCACTGAGGTTACTCAGCTTGCCACCACTCTTCCCCTATCTAGCCCATACATCTGGAAACTAGACATTAAACAGTTGCTTCCACCGGTGAAAGAGGAGCAGAATAAAAGCTCTGATGATGTGTCAGATGTGGGAAGTGATTCTGGATTAGACACACCCTCTATGGATCACTTTGAGTTTAGCACGGTCTTTGATAAACTTCCCCATTTGCAAGAGTTTAGCGTGACTTACGGAGTAAGAGACTGTGGCATGAACTTCGAGTGGAATTTATTCATGTTTACTAATCGCGATTGTCTCCTCTTATCAAAGTGTATCAAGAAGTGTCGAACACTTAAAGTTTTTAAGCTTCACAAGAGTAAAGTTGATGATGATAAGGCACGTGTGTTGATCGCACATATTCTTGACCATCCAAGCCTGCTGGAACTTGATTTGTCACACAACGTGATTGGTGATAGTGGAGCAAGGGCAATTGGCAAGTTCCTAAATGGTCATTGTAAACTCAGTAAACTGTTTCTGAGTAACAACAAGATTCGGGCCAATGGTGCAGCAGCAATAGGACATGCACTAACCAAGAATACTACACTTAAATTATTGGATATGAAATTAAACAGGATTGGAGATGATGGTAAATCATTTTTTGTCCACATTCATTATTTTCACAAGGATACAAAAGTAAATTTTATTTCATTCTACATTCTTCATCACTGTCATTACCATCATCATCCTAATCATTATCTTCCTAATCATTATCATTCTCATAATCACCATCATCAATCATTATTATAATCATTATCATCATTTCATCATCACTATTATCATCACTATTATCATCATTGATCAATCATCATCTTCACCACCAGCATCATCATTTTCATCAATCATCATAATTGCCATCATTATCATCCACATCATCATCAATGATAATACAGTATTGTGGTTTAGTATTCTCTTATAAACACATTTCAAAGATATTTCCATTCTGGACAGCTTAATCACTTAATTTTTTCCCTTTATGATTTGTTCCCAAGGTGGTCAGGCAATTTGTCAAACATTAACAAAGAATACGACGCTAGAGAGGATCAACCTCGGTAGTAACGAGATGAGTGAGCCTACAGCGGCTGTACTTGCACAGATTGTCATTCACAACACAACATTAAGGGACATTGACCTTTCATGCAACAGGCTTGGACCAGTAAGTATAGTTATATATATGGTATATTTATTTGTAGATTTTTTTCAACTTGGGTTAGTGCAGCAGTAAGGGATTAAAGTTGGTGCGAGACACCATGTTTGCGGGGGTGCCGCCGGGATTTGCTCGACAAGGTTCTGACTCCCGGATTTGAAAGTAAGTTGGCGTGGTCAAAATCTTTTGTAAGTGTTCCAGGGGTATATTCACCGGGAACTGTGACAATTTAGGGGTTTCTGAGGCTTATTTAAATGATTTGAGTCTATAAATATGTAAAAAATATACATAATTTTACCTTCTCCCTTATGAGGTATTTTTCTCCCAACCGCCACCCCTGCACGTTTGAGATCTGCCAATATACTATTTCCCTGTGCCTAGGTAAGACACTTTCGCTCTAATTACACTGTCCTGTGGATAGGATGATGAGATGTTGGTCCTATGTGTATGATAGTGCATGTGAACACTGGTTGAATAATACTGTGTGATGTCATCCTCAAATGTGAACTATAGTTATAATATTGAGACATATAATTTCAACTATTTTGTTTATAGGATGGTGGTAAACAGATCCAGGAAGGATTAGAAGAAAACACGACCTTACTTCATGTCGACTTGCGTCTGACTGAGGTCGGGCAAGAAAGCGAATACTCAATCAATCAGATTCTCAAGAGGAACCAAGAGATGCACCGCGAGTTAACTCTTCAGAAAACACAAAACATAGATCGATAAAAAAGAAAATCTTTGTGAAAAATAATAAAGAATATACAAACATTACAGCATAAATCCAAAAACCACCATAAATTTTACTTTAGCATGCCTAAAAAAATATTTTGAACTGCCTTTAAAGTAAAAACAATACTATGTTAAAATTATGTACAGTTATGCATATTTCCTATATTCGGAATCATAATTTATTGATTTTAGAAAATAAAATGGCAAGGCAACAATTTTCATTCTCAATTATTTTTTTACTATCATTTAATATTACATTATCTGCAACTCTAGGCTTACAATGTAGATGATTAAGACCTCTCAAATAAGCATTGGAAAAATAAAGGTAGAAGAATAACTCATAACTTGCAGCTCTAATGTGCTGAATTGCGTATGTGTGTGGTACATAACTACAGTCCCTGCAACGAGGCACTTACAGCAGTTTCATGTTCACACAATTCCACAATCAAGGGCTGAAATGTACCATAGTATCAGGGGTAACCTGCTACTCTTCTGAAGCTACATTTATGCTAGACATGACGACATACTATTGCGTTTAATATTCTTCAACACTGAGCGCATTTTTATCGTGTCTTGTCTAGTGTAAACGTAGCTTTAAGCCTGGTTCTCACGAGAGCCCTAGTATCCGGATCGGGAGCTAACTGTTAGCGCTAACCATTAGCACCACTGTGTGAGAACGCCCGATCGGTTAGCGGTATCTGGGTACTGTGAACAGTTAGCACGTTGAGCGTGTTTCTACCATCAACCAATCACACGTACGCGTTTACAAGTTCCAGTTTCTTATTGGCCAGTTCTATCATATTCTTGGTATCCGGATTTGGATCTTCTCGTATGGACGCACGGCAGCTAACGGTTAGCAGGATCCGGATCCTGGCAACCGTTAGCTGCCGTGTGAGAACATAGCCTCAAAGTGGGTTCTTTAAAATACACACAAGACAGATGTGTACAAAGGACTTCGAATGAGCGCCAAGATTAAGGTTGTAGCTATAGAGTAGTTAGCGGCACACTGCCTTCCAACTCGGCCACTTGACTCGCCCAAATATATTCAAATATTGTAGTATTAATGGTGTAGCAAATCTGATAGGCATGTTCAACACATGATACCATTTTTGCAAGTCAATCATTTGTAGTCCACACTGTTCTGGAGCAAGTGCTTCTCTCGTATAAGCACCACAAAGCAGCGTCTAAAATTGCTAAGCACCTCCGGATCTTCCACGTCAATTTTACAATTATTATGAATGACATTTTTTTAGTATATAATTTCTATATTATCCTGATATAAGAAACCATGCATTGATTTTCTGAAAATAAAAAGGTACCATAACACTTGGTAATACTGTACTGTATTTGCATTTTATTCTTATTTTTTTACTCTTATTGAAACACACAGCCCTTAACCATCCTTAACAATTATTAGATTTACTGAAATCTATATAAATCAGTATACAATATATACAAACGATCAATTTTTTAAAAAGTAAAATACAATCTCTATCCTGATGTTGAAATGCAAAAAAATAATCAAGGAATTTCTAAAATAGATCCTTAGAAATAAACCAACAGTAGAAGTTCCCCACCAGGAAAGGGGATCTCACTCACCTCAGGCCCACCATAGTTGGGGCTGATATTTGTAAATTATTGGAACCTCAAGATGCTCAAAAATGGCATTCTTAGACTGCAAAAATGCTTCTTCAATGCAGTGTTTTCTGACGAAATGGTTAGACGCCTGCCCCTGGCATCGCCACAGATCTTAGATAGTTTATGCTTGTTGATTCGCCACAGATCTTAGATAGTTTATGCTTGTTGATTATCATATAAATATAATTTAATGCAGATGTTTATCTACCTCTATCAGATATGCATATTAAAAATTACTAAACAGAAATAAAAGATACTTTAATTATAAGCTATATATGATATGTTGTTTATCAGTAGAATCCATTTTGAATGCAAGACTACACTACAGTACTGTATTTTACATTAGACTGGACACCCCTCAAGCCACAGGATAACTTATGGTTTTGAAACACAGTCATTCTCTATGCACTACACATTATAATGTTCAGTGTTATAAACTGCATTTGGTGTCACGCTATGAAAACTCTTTATTTATGCATAAATTAAGTATGTGCTTTTTTATAAAGTTTTCTATTTCAATATCTATTGCCGCAAAAGGATATTAACGGCATTCATAATTACAGTATTCATAAATACTCATGTAAAAAATTGTAGTAAGCATTAATTATTAATTAAAATAAAATATAAACTCAGCCTCCATTCATTATCTACTGTAAGTTGAAAATACCATCCTGAGTTAAACGTGTCTGCAGAATATTAAACTACACTGCACAGTATGCCTACAAGTAATTTTAATAGGAGCATCTGGCTTATCCTGTAAATTACAAAACCACCTCATAATAGCTGAGAAATAAGAATAAGAGCCGTCAACAATCAAGGACCGGGAACGAAACTCACTAAAATACATGCTCCACATGTGGAATGGTCTGTGCCTCTAGGATTGGCCTAATAAGCAATAATCGAAAGCAACGAACATTGAAGCTTGTACATCGTGTAGCATAGCTCTCAACGAATATAGTCCTGTAGAAATAAATTTATTTTTACAGGACTACATTCATTGAGAGCTATGCTACACGATGTATTATTATGCCTTTTATTCGAACACTGTATTTACCTTTCTTATATACCTTTATATATAATTATATATATATATATATATATACACACAGTATATATATATATATATTATCATGACAGAGGGAATAACTTCCATGCAATTGAATTATTTTTCCAAGGAATGAAATATAATATTAATACTAACGTAACACTCCAGAATGGGTAATGGTAGCCCATGCTGTGTGTGGTAATTGACCAATGAAATGTTGTTCTTAAGTTACCTAATCAATATGTAAGTGATATAGTATTACACATGCCAGCTGACTTCTGGGAGAGAATTGGCATACAATAGTTAAAAAAAAAAAAAATTGAAATCAATTTTCAAACAACTATTTAGGTTCACAATATTTTAAGTACATTTATATATCATTATAAACCCTAATCTTTTTTCTTCCAACAAAATTACACTCACACCTTGTATACATGATCAATGAAGCTGTGACTTATTGGTTAATGTGCCCAACTTTCAATCCTATAATCCCAGGTACAAATCCTAAGGCATACTTATAAAGCAAACTTGGCCAAGTGGGTGGACCGTACCTTAATACAGTAGAACCTTTCCTTTGGGCTATGGCCATGTGGGTGGACCGTATCTAAATACAGTAGAACCTTTAATTTTAGTTTTCCCAGCCGCTAACATTTTTCAAATGTCCAAAGCAATTAAAGTATTGTCAACAATCAAACCTTACAACATTCCTAAAATCCTAAATCATTGTTCAGTTAATTACTATATAAAAATAATTTTCTTTCTTTATTTTTTTGTGATTAAAAGTAAAATATATAACTGGTAACCATGATTTTATAATATAAACATCCAGTGTGCAATGCTTTGATTTTCTGCTGGAATAACTTGAATTCCACAAAGACTATGATTGCTGTTCAACACATATTCCTGTGTTACCTGTGTGTAAGAGCAGAACATCATCAGATGTGAATATATCAAAATTACAGATTCAATTCATTCATTACTTGCTTTGCTTAGGGCCACTGACAGCTACTGCCACTTACGTATACTTATATTGAGTTATAATTACTTAACATGCACAATAACCTACAAAACATAAAAGCTAGACTTTGGAAGGAACACAGTATATTGATATGTTGGACAAATGAATATTGGAAGACATAGAAGTGGTATTTGAAAATAAAAGACATTAAAACTGGGGTAAAGTGTACATGACCATGATTAAATGACAAGGTGCTGAGTTTAGCCCTCAGCACCTTTAGTACTGTTACTGGACCGGCAACCATTTGGGTCCAAATCTATCTTTGCTACATACCTTCAAAAGTAGATAAGCTTTCTGAGGAATCTGATGGAGTTAATTCTCCAGCTATTGCAGAAATCTCACTGCCGTCATCCTCTTGCTGGTCTGAGATCACACCACTTTCTGATGACTCAACATCATTCCTTGATGTCTCATCCAATACGTCTATCAATGGATCTGTGGAATGTGAAAGTTCACTGAGTTCAGCTAAATTCTCCAAATGAGCGGAGTTCACTGACTGTTGCTCTTGATTTCTGGCATTTCTCCGCCGCCGCCACGGAGGTATTCTGCTTGACCTTGGAACAGGAGGCGAAGGAAGATTAATTGTGGAACTACTGATGGGTCTCTGCTGAGACTCAGTTGTCTGGAGTTGGATCTGTGTTAGGTGTGCAGGACGGGGAGGCAGTTCTGGTGAAACATCATTATTTTCAGCTGTTTGTGTTTGATGTGCAGATGCACCAGCTAAAGTTGTTTGAGGATTACTGGCAATAGCCTCTTCATACGATGGCAGAGGAACTTCCATATTTGATGTCAATGACATCAGATGTGAGTGTCTACGCTCTCGCATGCGTGCCAAACGTGAAGATATTGATGAGTGATATCGACAATGTGGTCGTCGTCGTCTTCTCTGTGTGCAGCACTCACGAATCGACAAGATCACAGTAACAGTTAATATACCCATAATTGATCCAGATATTGCGACAACTATTGTGAAGGTTTCATTGGTCAACATATTCTGTCCATCTTGGGGCATTTCAGTTGAGACTACGAAAAAAAATTTAAACAAACATCATATTATTTTGGTATTTTTAAGCAAAAACAAGAAGTAAGCTTTTAGCATTCAAATAAAAAGATAATTTTAGTGAATTGTTTCCATGGAAATTAATAGATGCATAAAAAATTATACTCCTTTATTCTTTGCAAAAACATTTAAATCAGTGGGTATAATCAAAATATAGAAACAAATTTCATTTGCTTTTGAAATTCAAAATATTCAAAGCATTGGGTACACCATTAGGACAAAAATAAAATTTTATGTCAATTCGAAACAATTCAAAATAATAAAAAAAATAATGAAAAATAATTATCAATGAGCCACTGGTTAGTGAAACACAATATATAAGAAAAGTGATTGCCTTATTTACTTAATTATACAAATATATAATATATTTTATTCGATAAAAACTTGTGACATATGATCATGTCATAACCAAATAAGCACATCATGACTATATATGTGCATACAAAGCTTAAAGAGCCTACCCTGCACACATGATGGAGCATAGCCATCCCATTGCCCCATGGGCTGACAAGTTAGTTCCATCCTTCCAACTAATTCGTAGCCACTGTCACAGTAGAAGCTTATCTTGACACCTGGAATAAACACTTCTTGACAACACCTTTTTCCATTCTCTGGATTTCCTGGATCTAGGCAATGATCTGAAGCAAAGCATTAAACTACATTCAGAACCAACAGGTAAACAGTTTTTTGAGTTTGTAAATGCAGTGTCACACTTATGCATTACATACATCAAGTCCATTCTGTACTGCTAAAAAAGGGAATCATTAACACTCTGGGCGCCAAACACGGAGATCTCCGTGTTTCAGGTTTTTGTACGGAATCCGATAGATGGGGTAATTACCAACGTGTACTGACAATTTGAACACTATATTCAGTCTGGACCGTAAGTAGTTTGTTATTTGTTTGTTTACATTAGCGTTGTGCGGTATTGATTTACTTTCACGTAATCGCTATTATCTTATCTTCGCTGTGCAAAATTGCGTTAATCTCCAAAAGTGAGTCATTTTCATTTTACTATTACGGGTCACCGATTGTGATTAGAATAAAATGTTTGGCACAATTGTAAAGCTAACATGTTTGTAGTTCTTGTAGTGTTCACTACATGCCAATCTTATCACATACACACTCTCAACGAGCTTCGGAAAAGTGTTAAAATTTGCTAAAATGTCTGGCGGTGGCTGATGCTATTTTTTCAAACCGCTGGCGGTCAGAGTGTTAATAAGTATTTAAAAGGAAAAGCTGAGAAGAACTCAAGGACAGTGGCAGTGGGGAGCTTCCCCCTCACCCCCCCGTCGGGGAGAGAAAAACTACAAGTACAATTCGTTGGGGAGAAACAAAGTTATACCTGTATGTATTTTCTACATATTAGTAGACATTAAAATCTATTAAATAAGCCTTTGAAACCCCTAAATTGTCAAAATTTGTTGGGCCTTCACCACCTCTCTACTTTCGAAATATTTTGATCAACGCCCGACCACGCCCACTTTGCTCTCAAAAGAGACATCGGACCCCCTGTCGGCAAGTCCTGATGTCACTTAAAGAAGAACTTACGATCGGGAACACATGTTATTTGACCAGAGCCTGTCCAGTTGCCCAAATGATTACATGTTACCGTGCCAGTGTCTGCCGGCAGGTGGTAACCCTCTTCACACGTGTATACGACCTGATCTCCAGAGGAATACATCTGAGACAATGGTTTGTACGAACCATGCGGTACTGTCGGAGGTGAACTACATGGTAACTCTGAATAAAGAAAATAATCATCATCAATTAATCAGTAAGTTTCATTCGCAATATCATCATTGTCAATATTAGCAAAATGTTCGGGCAGTCGTCTAGAAATTGGTATTGAACAAAGAACTTGTATACACATTTTCGACAAGTTTGAAATGAAAATTTCCGAAAACCTGGCAACTACAACTGGGGGCCTTCCAGAGGCCTAGCATTTCGCTCTAAGTAGTTACCATCATGGATTTAGCTAAACGATAAAACTAAATTACTAACGAGCAAAAACATCTTAAAAAGGAAAAAGAACGAAATGTTGATATTAAAGACAAGCCCAAGTCTTAAAAACCTATTTCAATGTTCACATACAGTACAGTAATTAGCAAAAAAAATCATATTTGATCAGAGGCCTAGCAGCGCTATCTGAAAACAGATCCAATAAAATGGTGTATTGACAGATGAACTGTCCAAAGGACTATGGTTGTATCTGTATGTGTCCGTAACATGTTATAGTTAAGTCGGGTGACGCTACACTGCGGCTACCAAGTTTCAGATCCAATTTAATAAGGACAAAAAAATAATTATTATTATCATTAAAGGGGCATTCCACAGTATTTGGTTTGTTAGGGTTAAATTTTCATTTTCAATTATTTTTAATTCAGATGGCAATATGATGACGTCACAATGTCCGATCAGCCATAATGATCTATAAAATCATATCTACAACTCATGTGCTTTCAGAATATGTAATAAAAGTTTTTGTCACAGACAAGACAATTTTGTCACAGACAGGACAGTTTGTCAGGGACGGGACACTTAAAAAATTAACGCAATACAAGTTTCTTTGCTACTGAATTAGAGTAACAAAGGTAGCAAAGCAGGTAAAATGTTGCACTGATATCAGAGAATCATTTATATTTTGAAAAGTATGGTTTTCTCTCATTAAACAAAAGTGTCCCGTCTGTGTCATTATGGAATGTCCCATCCGTGACAGCACATAATTCATATTTTTTTTATAAAATTACATTTATGATTTTTTTGGTAAACATTTAGGCATGTAAAACAATCATCTGGGGATAGCATTAAACAAAAAATAATTTAATATCTCTTTCAGATGAGGAGAAATATTAGAATATGTAAACCTTTCTGAAAGTTATGTCCAAATTTTGTCTCGTAAATGACGCATACATTTTTTATTATAAAATTATAAGAAAAAAAAAATTTTTCAATTTTCCTCCCAATAATTAACCATAGGCATACATGTAAACATTGAACATACTATAAGTCTTACAATCTATAGTTACTGAAACATAACTGGTTTTATTCTCAAAAATGTTCGTGACAAAAAAATACTGTGGGATGCCCCTAAACCAAAATAAATTTGGGAAAAGAATGTGAAATAAAGCATTACTAAGGAGTGAAGTTTGAAGAAAGTGTTTCTTCTATCACAAGTTTTATGGTTATCATATTTCATACAGTATATAACTCAGTGGAAAAGCTTTACTGAAGCATTTGAGGCTTCACACATTGTACACAATTGTGCAATAATGTGAATGCATTGAGATATTTAGCAGAAAGTAAGGCGCTTTTTATTTGCATTGACGTAGAATGAAGAGCATAATGTTAATTTAACTACACATGTATGAACGTTGCATGTTCAGTCCTCTGAAATCTGGAATGATTGTTGGCTGAATCTATGTTTTAGCCAGTATGGGAACTGTACTATTACAAATGACTGAGTTGAAGTGTGCCAGTCTTAGTGCATGTCACATCTCTGCATACATGCCATTGAAAATGGATAAAAATAGAATGTAAATACACAATGGTCATTAATGAATTCGTTCTGTCTACACATTTTATTTTCTCAATCGAAAGCCCCCTAGTATTATGCTGAATATTAGTATGTGTATAAGGCCCAAACATAAATGATGAGTTGCCAAAGTCCACTTATATTTTGAAAGACTGTTGCTCGGTCTGCAAATTTGTTCTATAGCCTAAATGTAGGTTAATTGAAAACTATCATTTACCATATATATTTTGGTTGGAAAAGGATAACACAGAAATAGAATTGATGGTTGAAGATGAAACTTACTTATTAAAGAATGAAAACTGGCCTTAAGTATGGTCATAAGTAGATTAGCAAATAAATCTAGTCCAATCCAATCAAACAAAATGGGAAATACAGTGAAAAAAATAATATACAACTAAATAAATATAATTTGACCAACATGGTTAGAATATTTTTTTCTTACCACATTTTGGATAATCTCCTGACCACTGTCCATTTTTACATTGCAATGTATTGCTACCATACATTGTGTATCCAGACTTGCAATGATAAGTGACAGTTGTACCCTCAAAATAATAGCCAGTCTGTGAGTGCTCAATGCTGAAAACCTTATGGGCATTTGCAACATTTTCAGGTTCATAACAGAAGAAAAATTCTGTGGAAGTAAGAAAATGTATGTAATCCAGATATTGTAATATTTTTTCAAAAAGTTAACAAGGAGGTCAAAGGTTATCAGTGTTAGCATAATATAATATCACATTTCATAGTAAAGTCTCACCCTCAAACAAAGGCCAGCCATGTCTGGCTTATGAGAGACAAAATATAATAGAACAACTGGAAAGTAAAGTACAGAGTGTTAACATCAAAATATATCATACTGTAGAGTTAATTAAGATTAATAAATAAACCCTTTACGTTTTTCCAAAATCATATAAGCAAATTTAGCAACATGAAAACAAAGGTTACCATTAGAGAACATATAAGTAAATTTTTGCATCTCAGGTAAGTTGAAAAATAATGGATCGATATTATTAATCTTATTAAACTAATCAGAACGTAATGCATCATAAAATTTACAAACCATAGAGTTGTCACCTTAATTGAACTAACACATTTATTAGAGAGGCATTTTGAAGAAAAAATATGACAAAATTCACTTATCAAATTAATAACATATCTTCATTTGATTTGAAGTTAGACAAAAACCATACTAATATTAATTGCTAGTTACTGAATAGTAATAATAATAAAAAAGACTGTAACATATGTTAAGATTTAATAAATATTCAAATCTTGAATTTTATACTACTGTATTCTTTCTTTGAAAACAAAAACAGAAAATAATTATTGTTTTAATAAACTAGCGGTTAAATAAAACCCAACTACAAATATGGATCCGACCAAGCAAAACCGACATCATACAGCAAGGAATAACCAATCTGACCAGTATATAGTATATGTAGTAGGTAGGGCCTATAATAAACACAAAAATGCGCTGATTACAACTGCAATATTACATGATTCTCCAAAGGGATCTGAGTATGTGTTGCATGTGCTTGATCCAATGACCTGGGATAATAATGCTAAGTGCATAAAGGTCTCCCACAATATGCACTATATAAGTTGACAATTATTATAATAACTAAATTTGAACTCGTCACTGAGGACGAGTTTGGTGATCCACCGAACTTTGACCCTCAGGAAGCGCGAGCATTGCGAGTTGAAATGTTTTTTAAATGCTCAAAATGGCCTAAAATCTGCTCTAGTTAGTTTTTTAAAAAGTGTAATATTAAACATTTGAAAAGATCTACGCGTGCATACGCGGACGTCTTGACGCCTGTGCACATGTTAATGGAACAAAAAAGTTTACTCGTGGCCCGGGATTTATCAATCTCAGCTTAGCAAATGTCTTAAGTCAAAAAAGTTAAGATGTCCCTAATAAATACCTTAAGCTTATTTATTACCCAGTCTTAGCAAAATCTTGGCTTAAAAATCGTCTTAAATGGTTCTCACGTACAATCTTTCTAATTTTAAGACATTTTTAAGCTAAGCAATATTGATAAATTTGACTTGAGCAAAACAATGTACTTTAGACAAATTTAAGTTGAATTCTAGTTTGATAAATGTGGCCCCTGTTTATGAATACAGTGTCAGGAACCCAAAACATGTAACAAAACATAATTCCCAGCTTCAGTATGTGCAGTGCACGTGGAAATGAGCGTACGGTGCGTAAATTATGGAAAGTTTTGTGATGCTGAAAATGACCTGAAACGTGATTTAAATTATCTGAAAAGTATTATTGAGAATTCCCAAATTTTACCGTACACGCACGTCACGACGTGCTCGTGGACGGTAATGGCACATGACATTGACCTTCTATCAGTCTGATAGCGTAGAAATACAGTCTGCAGCCCTCTATCTGAAAAGTGATATGAGAATTTCCTAATTCTACCGTACACGCACGTCCGGACGTGTTCATGGACGGTAATGGCACAGGAAATTAATATTTGTCAAGAGTAATTTAAAAACACCTGTTGGTTGGTAACCTGGGATAATAATGCTAAGTTCATAGAGGTCTCCCACAATATGCGCTATATAAGTTGACAATTATTATAATAATTATTTATTCCACATTTTCCCTAAAATTTCTGAACTTTAATTAATTATCTTCATTTTCATTTTTATTTTAATTAATTGTTGCATTATTTATTTATGATTCTGAACTTTGCCACTGCTTCTTTTGTTTTGTTTACTTGTTCTGTGCTTGGGTTAGGCAATGATCATGACTGCCAGTGGGTTGTGACATGCATAAGTATGTGGGGTGTAGCACTTCGTATCTGCAAAAGGCGCTTTATAAATGACCAGATTAGATTGGAATATGAAAAAAGTGAAATAAATATTATTAAAATTTGATTTGATGTGAAAGGTCTAACCTAGCATTATCCTATCAAATGCTAATTAGCTGTTTTGTGAGAATGGGCTTGCAAGGTTTCCTATCCTCGCATGACCAGACTGAGCATCTGTGTAAAAGGGGCTTAAGAAACTGTTGTAACCCTTATGCAACCAATAGGAAAAATCAATGAAAATTATTTATATATTACCTTCACAAGTTGCCCATTCTTTCTCCCAGGTCCCATCTGGTTTACAATAATTAACACTTTCTCCCGTTTGCGATATAGCGTAACCGGGATCACAGCTTAGTGTAGCAGTACTATTGACAACATATTTGTCATATGATCCAGACACAGTGGTACCTGATAACTCACCATTAGTTACATCTGCCTTATTGCAATATATATCAGCTGAAATGCACCAATTAAAAATATTAAGTCTTAACTAATGGAGAAATCAGAATGCTTACATTTTTAACAGATATATAGGGATGAATGTACAGTAGGTGCACTAATTGAACTATATGATCTTAATTATCTATCACTTCAGTGCAAAATTTAAGTGAAATAAAATTGTTAGTTTTTATAAAAATCTGTCCAAACTATAAAATTTTAAGTGAAAAATTGGTGATGTATACAACCATACGTGGCTCTATGTACAGTCGAGTCCGCCTAAGTCGAATCTAATGGGACTGGCATAAAAATCTCGCGTTATACAGATTCGACTTGCACATTTTTGGGAAAAAAATAGTAACATAGAAAAATACTATGTGTACTCAATGCCCACAAAATCGAATTTTACGCAAAACCAAACATTTTTTTAAGTCCCAAAATCATTCCTATTCTTACTTAAATAAAATACTTTCCGAAAATAGGAACTCCCTATTCCAAATCGGATTTATCCAATTCAGGACGGTAACATTCACTGGAAAAACCAGATGATAGACATCGTTTAATGACAAGCATACCAGACACTGTGAAAACAAAACACTTAGCTGTACTCGCATTGCCATGGAGATTATCCGTTGATTAACATAATACACCATATACATGCTAATTTAATTACGGATAAAATTTGTAGAGAATAAAATCTAATTTGTTAGGTTTATTTAGATTTGACTCTAAAATAGTACCATGAGGGTTTCTCATTTGTTTTTTGTTGTTGTTTAATTAAAACATTTTTTATTACACTGAGCTTGTTACTGTCACGCAATAAGAAACTTTGGGCTATCTGACGTCATCACAGCCGAACCACATGTCTGCAAAACACCTTACGAAAATGGACCAATTGGAGGGCAGGCAGAGTTTTGGGGGCGCGACCTGTTTACAACTAGACTGCCGACCAGCAAGTGGCATTGCCCAACGAAGAATGTGTGCTTAGAAAAACATATCTGACCTAAAGGAATGCATGTAAAAACAATATAAAAGTCGCATCAATTTTATTGGTAATAATTAAATTTGCTGAGCAGTACAGCAAAACAACAGGTACTGTATGTATTATGTTGAATCATGGAGGTATATGGTTGAATAATGTGTTGAATTTGTGTAGGCTAGACCTAGTAAAAAATCCAGGGCTTTGATAAATTAATCAAGTAGCTAGGCCCTGACTACAACAATCTTGTTCGAAATGGGTTCAATACAAGTTCTACAAACTGAACTAGACGAAAAACCGAACATTGGAGCCGGTCCGGAGGGGTGACTGTATTGTAAGAGTAGACTTACGACATACGATCTTGTGAACCATCATTCCACAGCGCGCTGTCTAATACCCATTTCACACTGATGCTATTTTGCAAATATTAACAACTTGTAACAAGTTGTAACCAGGTTTGGATGAGTGTGAAAGCAAATCCTTGTAAAACTTTCCGAGATTTCACAGGGGTCCCCTGAGTTATCTCGGAACAAAAACAGGCCATCGCGAGGCCTGTCTTTTTCCCGAAATCTTCCGAGTTGTTGTTGCGCATGCGTCATGTCCATATTTTGACCTTTTCGCAGGCCGTGTTTTTTTGTTTAGTTCGAACGAATGGCAGCAGCGATGGAAAACGTATCAACATTACTACCATTTGTTAATAGGCCTAGACCTAAAATCAAAAGAAATCTCGCTAAATTTCACATGTCTGATGTAGAAACAATCACAAGGCTTCGTAAAATACGCCGACAGCGAATCATTATGATGCTTGTCGCACTGATTGCCTCTAACAACAATGGTGAGCTACCGGCCGGCGGCCCGACTGCGCCTAGCTAGCCTAGGCCCATCTTTCTCGCCAGCTCGACTACAGCAAGCGAGCTAGGAGTTGAATTCGTTTTACTCTCCGAAGGCTAAGGACCATGGAATAATTATAATCTTGTTAATTCGGTACCAGGCTTAGTTTAGTAGTTGATATGTAATTCGGACAACCTACAACTAGCCTAAGCCTACTATTAGTACTACCCTAGGCCTCTAGGCCTAGTCATTATTCTTCCGAGTTTTCCCCGAGATTTCTCATGGTTTGAAAGTGCATGTGTGAAACGAACCAAAAATCTCGGAATATCAAACTTGTTACAACTTGTTAAAAGTTGTAATATTTTCTCCTAGTGTGAAATGGGTATAAGATGTTAGTTTTGACATGGCTATGTTGCCGTACAACAAGGATTGAACTTTGTATTTTTCCTTGGCTGTGTATTTTTCCCACGTGCGCTACTAATTTTGGAACTTCGACTTGTGTGGTTAAAATTACTTTAAAATCGGCCTATCTGGACCGGAAAAGTCTGTCGACTTATAAAAATTCGAATTAAACAAACAATTTACACAGTAATACATAGAAAAGAATTGGGACGTGAAATTTTGACTTAAACATAGTCAACGTTGGTGGACTCGACTGTAATATCAGGGCCCTGACATAAAATTTAATACAAAAATAATATAATAGTGTAGACAAAGCATTACAGTATTTACTGTCTTGTCACTCTGTCAAAACTTACGGATGCATTCTGGAAGAGTGTCTGTTGGTTTCCAATGATTACTCGAGTCACAGAAGATTTTCCTGGCGCCTTTTAAAGAATAGTTCTTATCGCAAATGAAACGGATTTCAGCATATTTGTCCAAATAACCATCGACAGGTGGTGGTTTACGATATCCATTGGCTATGGGACCTGGATCCAGGCAACCTGGTGATATAAAAAAATACAAAGTTATACTAATGCAAGAGCAAGTTGCAGAGCTTTATAAAAAGGCTGATGGATCCTCCACATTAAGTGGCAGTACAGAGTTACTGTGGCACATCTAGGACTCTTAAAATGGGGGGGGGGAGGGTGCGGGAGAGAGGGTGCGAAAGCAGAGTTGGGCTAAATGATTAAGTGAGGGGAGCTACAGTAGGTCACAAAATAAGATGATTTTTATCTACGTGAGCGCAATTTTTTTGCTTCCGACATTTTCAATTGGCATGCACCCCCCTCTCCCAGATGCCACTACAGATTTAGAGCGTTGAGATCAAGTTATCAAAGGCTGGCTTTATAATACCTGTAGTTTAACATCAAAATACACAGTTTTGTTCCACTTATCAAATGTTTTTAATTGTTGCAGGGTTCTCACCAGCTCAGCAGGAGTGAAAGTCGCCAATTATTAATTAACAATGTTGTTTAATAATTGTTACTATATACAGTACCTTATACACAAATTCTAGGCATCTGATTGGTTAAGAAGCAGGGCAATAGAAAGTACTATTCCCCTCAAAAAGTACTATACCCCTCAAAATTAATACTTTTTTGACCTGTCGCGATGTGCAAACTCCAGTCCCCTACATCGCGCTGCTGATGGTAAAGGGGACTGCGACCTCTACGATGAGATTAGCCCTTGACCACGTCACGGATCAGCAAGTAGACGATAAACAAATATTGAGGCTGGTTGTTTCGAGATGTCAAGGGACTTGCCTAGGCCTAGCATTACAGTACTTCTTGATGAAGAACCGAAAGGTCCACTGATTAATCTCAGATAAGATATACTGTATAATAGTCATTTCCGATGATGACATAATTAATGTCCAAATATTGAATCCCGACATGATGGCGTGCATTTCGATACTTGGAGTATGCATTATACTATCTTATCTTGATGAAGCTGATAGCAAAATCCCCAAAAGACAAATTAAATATGTCTTATCAATATTCAACAATTATTGCAAGACGATGGATGCGGTTGAAATTGAGGAAATAAGCAAAGAAGAGCTAGACACACTCTTTGATCGCTTAGGCCTAACTAGTCCTAGGCTTACAGTAGGCCTCTAATAATAGGCTAAGAGGTGAGTACTTATTTTAGGCCTTGTAAAATCTGTATGAGGTATATAAAACAAATATTGACTGCTCTATATTCGGAGAATGGTGAAATTTATTGCCTCTCGGTCATGTGGAGACTGTAGCTTATCTTCCCTCAGGCCTTCGGCCCTGAGGAAGATAGACTACAGTCTCCACATCACCTCGGGGACAAGATTTCACCATTCCCCTCATGAACAGTCAATATTTGTATATTGTAGTTGTTGATTGTTCATTGTATTTTAACTGTCATTTATAACTTGCGAGAAAATTGGGACCCCAGATTAGGCCTAAAAAAATAAACTGTTTGTTTGTCCTTGTTCTTTTTTTTTTTAAGATTGCTCATCAGATGGATTAAAAATAACCAACAGTTGACATTTTGCAATGAATGTACAGTAGGCCTAGAATGGCAATATATCAGACAACAACTTTAGACAATAAAGATCAATTCACTCACAAATTTTTTTTTTAATTTAAAGTCTTTTTTTGTTTTGCCGCCCCTATTTTTTCAGTGAGTTAGGGGTAGGTGATGAGATCAAACAATTATTTTTTTTAGGCCTTACCTAGCTAAATTTCTAATATCTCTAAATGCTCTTAGAAAATCACATGTAACAGAAGTACATACAGTACAGTATAGAGCATAGAGATGCTTGGCTTAGTTACCACCTTACCTTGTTGTGCAGTGGTTTCAGGCCTAATAAACTGGAGCCAAAGCAAGAGGTAGAAGCACTTATTTAATAATATCAAATCCATTTGAAGTTCAAACCATTAAGCACAAAATCTGGTGGATAAAACACAGAAACATAAATAATTATTGTATAAATAAAACTATGCATCTAAGATTTCGGTGTTGAGTGTTTTTAGTTAGGAGTAGTTAAGTTGTTTTTACTGTACTGTCTTGTAACGTAGGGCCCCTCGGAAGAGCAGTGGTATTACTGAGAGAGCTACCCTACTGAAAGAAAACAAAATAAATAAATAAATAATTATACTTAATAAAAAATATGAATATTTTTTAAGACCTTATTAATATTACAGTCACACAAGTGAGCAACAACAGTACTTTATATAATCACTATACAAATCAAGTTTGAAACAATGTATTATGATACAATACCATACTCCTTTATTGTCATTTCAACAACACATGGTAAAAATAAAATGTGTGTTGATTGATCCGGTACAGTAGGCTAAACAATAATAATAAATAAATATAATAATAATAAATAAATATAATATTATAACAGATATATTTATAATAATTAATGAATATAATGATAATTTTTTACTTATATAGTAATAATGAATATAATAATAATTGTAATAATTAAATAATAATCACAATAGCAATTTGAATGAATATTTAGAATGATTTCCTGTTTAATGTACCTTTTTGTTAATTTTTTCTCAATTCAGTTCTGCGAACTGCTATGACAAAGTTTCATTTGAATAAAGATGCCTTGATACATAATATGTTAAATTCAGAAATATTTTACTTTTTCTGGGCAATCAAGTACACATTTAGTAAAAAAAGAACTATAGCTGCCTAGTTTACACCAGCATTAACCTGGTCGGAGCGGTACGGTACCCTCAACTAGCAGTTATGGCTCTGTACAGTTTCTATTTTCCTAGCAATTTTCGGCTTTTTTGTGCATTTTATATCCCTGCACAAATAAAATAGATTTAGATTCAGGTATATTGGCTTTACAGTTTGGCAGTCTGGTGCTGTTTCAGACTGTACATACACTATTTTCACAAAATTTTGTAAATGTAATCTTCTTTATTCCATTGCTTTCATCTCTGGTGAAAAAAAATGAAATACTTTTTTCTTAAATAAAACATACGAGCAATAAAGGAATTCTGAATTATCTTAACATAATTTTATTCAAAAATTGACAGAAAATATATCTATTACATTTATGCATAATTAACTACAATTTAAATAATAAAAATTTTTTTTTTTTTTGTTTTTTTTTTTAATAGAATTCTTATGTTTATTACCTTTCATGTGGTATTTAGAATAGTCTCTCGATGATATGAAACACAGATCATGGAGGTCATGTGTAATGTGTTTTATGCTGACATTTTAATGTTTCAGAGATACCGTACGCAATGTCCACGCATTACTTTCTGAAACACGGCGGACAAAAACATAAACATACAGTACATTGATTTTTAACAAAATTTGGACAATTATTGTTATAAAATTTTGGTTTTTTATTGTTAAGCAGTTTTCTACTTTGTGTGGTAATATTTTAATCTTGTTTGTGTTCGTGTGGTCCTGTTTGTTTACGTGTGGTTTTCATTCAAAAATTCTTTATTTATCCCACAAGGGGCAATTTCACACAGGACTGAATAATAATTAATAAATAAACAACAGCATAAAAACTAAAAATCTACTAAGAAACCCATTTTTTGTGTGGTGTTTAAGTAGGACCCAATGACTGTAAACAAATAAAATGGAAGCAACATCATTCTCAACATTTTTATACCAGAATAAAATAAAATAAAAACACATTCTATCTATTATTAATGTCTAGCTCCCGCTAGTAGGCTAGGCTAGCTGACAGTACTCTGTAGGCCTAGGCCCTAGAGGCTAGGGCCTAAGCATTGCTAGGAAAAGAATGACACGACACTGTCATCAGTTTAAACTAATTTATACTCACCACGATCAACTCATATAAACATAGATGTATATTAATTATCTTATGATGTCTTACACTCAGAATTTGAACATTTCTAACTCAATATATTCTTACAAAATGCAATTATTCATCACACACAAACAGAGTTAGCAGCAAGCTTCCAACTTCTAAAATACCAAAAAAACCAAAACGACGGAAGGTTAGCCATCACATGACGTCATCTCTGGTGGCGAATTACGGTAGGTCATGTCAAAGGTTAATATTATTTTGAGTTTATCGTCGGTTCGTACGTCGAGACATCGGAATAATAGCAGTGTGTGATTTTTGTGATTTTGGAACGAAAATATGTCTATGGTAATTATTTTGAGTTGGCTAAAGACACGAAGAAATCTATAAAAGTATGAGATGCAGTTGTGCACAACTATTGATTTGTAGTTTAGTGGCAGTACTGTTGGTTTTACAGGTAATCCACCTGATCATGTTGTCCTGGTTAGACGAGAGGACAACAAAGAGGCAGGCCCAGAACTGGTCTGACAAACTTCATCAGAGCCTCCTGGCTAAAGAGGAGAAGAGGCAGTCAGAAGCAAAGCTAGACTCGAGCGGACAGTATAAAGTCCATAAAAACTATGCTATTTCGCACCAGCAAGATTCATTAAATACAGAAAACGACGTAACAATTGTTACACAGTGCTCAGTAAATCATCTTCATCATTTGGCTCAGTTAACAGAAGAATGGGATGGTTTGATTTCTGTATCAGTTTTCACAACTAAATTGCAGGTCCATATTGCGGATGCTGCGATTTTCACTTTACGGGAATGTTTTGAAAAAATTCGAACTAATGTTGCTTTTCACATTGTGTATCCATTCACTTTTCAAGATATTAACGAAATTCAGAACAAAAGACATGACATAGAATTGTTAGATCTGTCTTGTGAAAATGTTTTACATACGATAACAAATCTTAACTTATTTATGCAAAATTACGATCTCTCAGGAATTCCGTATCCTAATAATCTATTGAGAAATGTTGCTCGGACTGGAGTTCAATCAACATATATTTTTGTAATAGACATCGATATGCTTCCAAATAAACATTTAAGGACTGATTTTCTATCGTTTTTACAAAACTCTGTTATTTCAGAAGAACTTTCTGATGTAGTGTATGTAGTTCCTGCATTTGAGCTTCCTGACAATTCGCCAAGACCAACAACAAAGCAGGAGCTGTTAAAACAATATGATAATAATGGTGTTCGACCATTTTATATTGAATTGTGTAAAAAGTGCCAGTTCCCAACAGATTATGAAAGTTGGCGAAACTTAGAAGTATGTTCAGTTTTCTAACCATTCATTATGTTTATTACTGTTACTGTTATAAGAAAATCCAATTCAAAGGTCAAAAACTTTGTGCTGCCCAAGCCCAAACGACCCAATCCATCTTTACTCACAGAGAGCAAAAATGGATTCATCAGCCTGCTTGGGTGGAGGGGGAGGGGGTTGTGTGCCTGCCTTTACATTCAAGAAAAACTTGGCATGGCACAAGGTTGTGTGCAACTGTAGTAAATTTTGGATTTGACTTGGGCATGTTCAACTCTAAGCAATTGTAACAGAATTCATATTCTCAACAATCTGAGAACAGGTTTACACATTACAGCAATAAAATTATCTTTTATCTTGTACTTTTAGTCAAAGCATGGACTAGGCGTTGCTTACAGTCGTGAGTGGGTCGACCCATGGGAACCCTTCTACATCAGCCGTAGTGACGTACCATTTTATGACGAGCAGTTTAAACAGTACGGTTTCAATAGGATCAGTCAAGTAAGTTACCTATTTGTAATGGTTGAGGCCACAGAATAAAATGGTTCATTTATATGCAAGCTGTCGTCTGTTACTTCTTTTTTTTTTGCCGTCTATACCAATTTGTATGTTTAATAAATATTTAAAAAATTATAAGTATGGGTATATATTAAATATAATTATTATAAATAGTATTGTAATAAATTTAATAATAATAATTATTATTATTATTAAACAGTATTATTATACTGTATTAGTAGTATTACCTTTTATTATTTTCAGGTCTGCGAGCTGCATGTTGCTGGATTTAAATTTTCTGTACTTGACAATGCTTTCATTCTCCACCTTGGCTATAAGACAAAAACTGGTTTTCATTCGAGTAAAGATGAAGAAAATTTAAAGAACAAGTTCCTATTCCGTCGCTTCAAGGAAGCGCTCCTAACTAAATACCCAGAAAGCAGTAGGCGGTGTTAAACATTAAGATTAAGCTTTGAATGGCAACTTAGCTCAGTGAGTGGGAAGGAAGGGGGAACACCACTGTGTGTTCTCTGAATTGTGGAGTTCCTTTCAGACCTTTGGTCCCTTTTTCAATTCGATCCCTGCTGTTGTGTTCAAGCTGAAGGGCTGATGTGCACTGTCTTTTAGAGATGTTTAAGCCGACACTCCTGTGTGCAGTAAGGTGTGACATGACAACACATTGTGCTCATATATTAATATGACATGACAACACATTGTGCTCATATATTAATATGACATGACATCATTGTGCTCATATATTAATATGACATGACATTATTGTGCTCATATATTAATATGACATGACATTATTGTGCTCATATATTAATATGACATGACATTATTGTGCTCATATATTAATATGACATGACATCATTGTGCTCATATATTAATATGACATGACATTATTGTGCTCATACATTAATATGACATGACATTATTGTGCTCATATATTAATATGACATGACATTATTGGGCTCATATATTAATATGACATGACATCATTGTGCTCATATTAATATGACCTGACATTATTGTGCTCATATTAATATGACCTGACATTATTGTGCTCATATATTAATATGACATGACATTATTGTGCTCATATATTAATATGACATGACATTATTGTGCTCATATATTAATATGACATGACATTATTGTGCTCATATATTAATATGACATGACATTATTGTGCTCTTACATTAATATGACATGACATTATTGTGCTCATACATTAATATGACATGACATTATTGTGCTCATATATTAATATGACATGACATTATTTTGCTCATATATTAATATGACATGACATTATTGTGCTCATATATTAATGACATGACATTATTGTGCTCATATATTAATATGACATGATATTATTGTGCTCATACAGTATATGATGAGTGTGATATGACATCATTGTGCCCATATATGGGTGTGATATGACATCATCATACCCATATGGGTCAGTCACAGATATTTGTCAGAGGAGTTTTGATAGTGTGGACAGAGTGGAGCTATGTGTTGTGGTATAAAATCAATGGTGGAAATAGGTTTTTTAAAGAAAATTTTGTACAGTATATATAATTTATTATGCTACTTATTATTACAAATAGATATAATTATTATCTATTCTATGCTTCATTTTTTGATAGTGGTATTTTCAACAGGGTAGTTTGATGTTTAATTCTTTATATATTGGGTTACTTGTCTTTCAAATCTCATTATGTTTATAGTTCTTGGTACTAATAAATTATTGAGACTGATCTAACATTATACAGATACATTAAAAATGTTGGCAGTGTATATTTTGTAGAGTGCCTAGTATTCGTTTGCACAGTATTTTCGTGATAATTAGTGAGGGTGCATTCCAACTCTAAACCACAGGACAGATTCGCGTTATATAGAAGAATGGATAAAGTATAGAGCTCTTAACTGAGAAAATTTTTGTTTTGTTCTTTTTTTCTGGGAGCAGCACATCTCTAAGCTGACAGTGGTCCCACTTTTGCTGCTCTCTGGCTCTCCTGATTTTCTTTGTGAATTTCTGATTTTTTGTATTTGTAATGTTTTATATTGTTAATTGTTTTGCCAGAATGAATAAAATAAATAAATAAAACCACATGTTTAGAAACTGTGCAGACTGTCTAAATCCGGTTCTCCAATAGGCGAATTTGTGCATGCGCATTCACATTTCTACCAGATTTTTGCGAAGCAAAAAAATGTGCATCCAATCAGAGCTCAGGAAGCAAACTGACGCTTTGATTCGCCTAGTGGAAAACCGACTATATGATTGGGGTGTTTTCGATTGCACGATGATGGTAGGACATATAGAACGTAATGACGTCTCTATATGAAGTAGATTCTGGAACACATTTTGGCCAAATCTACGTATGCAGAGAACGTAGGACGCCAGGTAGGACGGTCACACATGAGTGATTCCGTTCTAGCGTCGCGTCGTCGCACAAATCAAAAGCTCCCTTTTAAGTGATCAATCAGAACAGGGCCACAAACGTACATGTTTTGCCTTCAAAAAAGCACACGTCGTGAAATATGTAAATTTATCCAAGGGATGGTGTTTCAGCAAAAATGACCAATATTCGTAAATTGTATACGGCAGTGCATTAGTAGCGGCTTTGTCCCTTTAACAGAAAAAAAAGGATCAGAAATCAGTTATTTTTAATATAAATCTGTGCGTGATAAAAACTCGATTTCCTATCAATTGTTTTAGATAGACTTGACCTACTGTACTGACTAAGATGCATCTTCATTATCTGCTAGTAGCACTGATCATTGTGACCCACCGTTTATATAGGCCTATGTATTGTATTAATTTGTCCAGTCACAATTTTGTGCTACCAACCGATTGTACTGTATTAGGAGGTCGACTTCAAAGTTCTCTGACTATTGCTACCTATATATTAATAATGAAGAGCAGAATAAAAAAACGAATGTAAAAAACATCATGACGGTGAAGGCAGTGCCAATTTGTTATTCACTTTTTTGAAAAATTTTATTTTTTCTCCCTTATAAAGTGAAATAAAAATTCTCCATGGTTACCTACAGACTCTCTGTCCATCTCTGTCTAGAATCAACGTTCGTCTTTATATTATCTTTGAACAGGAGTTACATTTCAGGTGATTGACGGGCGCGATATGTTCCGATAGGAAAAACACCACTATCTGAAAATTAGCATGTTAGCAAAAATGTTCAAAATCTGTTAAGAAATTGCTTACCAGAAAGTATAATACATACTCCAAGTATTGAAATACACGCCATCGTGTTGGGATTCAATATTTCGACATTAATTATGTCATCATCAGGAATTGCTTACCAATATATAGCTTTCTTCGCCAGTGTGTTTATACGGTTCTCTACTAACTACTTCCTTCCAACCCAAATTTTAGAGGAATTTTTTGGGAGCCATTTTTCAATTTTCTTCTGAGTATCTTTGGATAACTATTACCACTTAAAAAAAGGTTCGTTAGATTAAGCTAAACTCATCCCTTCCCAATCAGCGATGGATATGCAAATTATATTATTTTAATTTTTGATGCAACGACCTCGTCATGGTATCGGACGACAGGGGCTCCACGCCTGTCTGAGGAGGGAGGGGGATAAGGCAAACGTCCCCATCCGTTTTCTTCTTGACACACACGATTAAGAACCTTGTGTTACACTATAAATTGGGCTTATTCGACTGGTTCATTTCGTTGACTACGATTTTACGTTGAGTATATGATTCATTCGACTGGCCCAAAATAGACTTCGTTGATAAAGAAAATTAACGTAAACCAGAGTGCGTTATCAGCGTTAAGTTCATCACGTGACCAAAACAAACATGGCCGATTGGTAAGTTTAGCAACAACATTTGCGTTAATGTAATTTAGAAAATAAAAATTATAATATTTACCCACATAAAGTCAAAAAATAATTCTAGGCTAACAGAATTCAAAAACTGGATGGAAGATTTTGTTTTAAGTAAAACCCATACTGCCGTAAGCCGAACAATCTTGATTATGCAGCGTGTATCGCGGTAACTATGCAGTCATTTTGTTTTGTCTAGTCATAGAGAAAATAGAACAGATTTACCAATTTTCTATTCGACTGGTCATCTTTGTTAAGTTGGACTTTACCACTGTGCGCAGGTGGGCGTGATTTAATGGAGAACGACCAGTCGAATACGGCCAATATGTATGACACTTTGTGTGATTGCAGGCAACTATCGAAGTTTTAAATTCTCAGTTATGGCTTTTATAATGCCTTCATTATTATGCTTATCAATTAAATGTTATTACATGTCAGTTGGTTGACGGTCTCAAGTCTTAGCGATCAAAATTTAAAACTAGTTAATATTTAAATCCGTGTAATTAAATTGTCAATCATGATTATTAAGCTTCATTACAATTATTTTCATTATCATGGTTATCGATATTATTATTATTTATATTATTATGATTGTGATCTTACAACTTGACATGTGATAACATTTTAATTCATCTTCCCGCTAAGCCCCGCCCCTTTGATATTACTGATGAGGTCCCACAAAAAGAGAGTTTTATAGCACGCAAACACGCACGCGTGCTGATTGACAGTTGTTAAGTTTGATTGACACTCCGGAAAGGCCAATATGCTTATCGAGTGAGAAAAAAGAATTTCATTTACAAAATACAATTTACAATCAGTCAGATTTCTACAGCCGATTAAATAAGTTGTCATAGGGGTGCGCAAATTAGATATAGGCCTAATAAACGATAAAACGATCGACCTTTGACTAGTGGCTGCGACAACTAAAACTCAATAAACTGTGGAATTGAAGAGGCTTCCTTTATACAAACAACAGTAAGTCCTAAAGTCAGGGAGATGTCAGCTACCCGTCAAACGGATTATTAAAATTCAGTCAAACGCTGTATTTTGATGCTCCTGTGCTGTCGTCTGATTATTCTCTCATGAGATCATCTATCAATATGCTTTTAGTAACAGCACTACAATCTTTCTTGGTTCGAGGGTTGTTCGTAGCCCATGCTACCCTCTGCGTATGGCGGGTGGTTGAAGCGACTGGCATACAAACATGTTGGGCTGCCTTGTTGGTGCACCTAATACTGTTGTTAGTTGAAGGACTCATTACATTTATTGCCACAAAAAAAGGCGAATGGACAGTGTAAGTAGCCTAGACTTATTCGTTTATTCGTCTCTTGTTGAAATAGGCGTGCACCCAGTTGCAGATTCGAAGTGGGGGATTGGGGAGGGCAGCCGGCCCTGCCCTCCTAATTGTTCAACAAAATTTGTTTTTTAATGGAGATTTTTTAGTCTATTAATTTTAAGCCTGGAAGCGCAGTTTCGGGGTGCCATAAACACGAATGCTCTTACCTCAGCCCCAACCATGGTGGGGCTGAGTAGGTTTCCTTCATCTGTGAAAGTAGCTCCCCGGGACCCCTCTATTTTGAATTCCTGGATCCGCCATTGGCACCCTAGCTATTTCGTCCCCATTGAGGACGCAATGATATTGAATTTATGCCGAATCCCCCAATGCAAAATCCCCCAATGAATTTGAGTCTGCTGACCGAATTGAGATACAACCCGAGGATTAAATTAACTGCACGGGGCTCGAATTTACTACAGAGTTAGTGCCAAGAGCTGACATTTATTGACATACCATGCCAATTTGTAGTATTTTTCATTTTCAATTCCATAGGCCCTAAATTGAGGCGGTCGAAATATCGGACACTGGAGTATAGGTGGATTTTGGGAGAGGGAATGGTAAACGTTCTCCCGGTTTATCCGCTGCCGTCTTTTCACTTTTTAACAAAAGAAACAACAATTAAAAATGGCATACATACGAGGCCTTAAGTGTGTTACAATATTTCGTAACAGAATAATTATACTGAACAAGAAACATACTATTATTGGACTTATTTTATGTATAATTTTATTAAAACCTGGTCTTGAAACCGGTGACACCGGTTTTTCCACTGCCGTCTTCTATTTTTTTAACAGATAAAAAAAAATGCATTTTTTTCTTATCTTAAATTTACAATTATTTTTCATTTAATATTATTTGTGTGATTTATTCATCTGTTCGTTTTCGGAGTGGTTTTGTAATTAAAGGAAACAGGATGTAGGTCTATAATCGATTGAGACAATCGATCAAATGGCAAGACGAAATACATTTCTAAATTATCTCTTGACGCTTAGAATACAAAATGTGGACTGTACAATATGTAATTATGTAAAGTGCACATTTTTTTTGTAATTTACATTAATGAATCCTCATAAATCAATGATATTGTGTCAATCCACCTGACTGATCTGAATCTTTTATAAAATCGATTACATTTAGCTACATAACAACACAATGACACAACAATAGCAGTATCTACTAGGCCTAATCATGAAAAGAAACAGTTGGGTGTGACTGATCATGGAAGAATAAGTTTAGAGATAGTGCTAGTTCTATGACTGTATAATATTCAAAGGACCAGCGGAGCCAATGCGCGAATAACTGCTGAGGATGTGAGGGGAAGAATACCTGCTGGATCCACAGGGTCGAGGAGGGAGGGGGAGAATACCTGTCTCTTATACACATCTAGATGTGTATAAGAGACAGAGGCAGTGCCAATTTGTTATTCATTTTTTTTTTAGTCCGACGAGCTGTGGCAGACGGAGAGGGCAATCATTTTTGCATTCATTTATCGATCCATCCATCCATCCATTCATCCAGTCCTTCGTTCGTTCGTTCATTCATTAATTGCAGTAATCTATCTGTCATCCATTCAAAATCTGATCCATTCAAATATTGATAATACAATGCACAATTGAATAGCTATATAAGAGCTCCACTTATTTGTCAATACTGGTTCAGTTTTCTTTAATCTCAGTGAAGTCTAGGATATGGGGGTGGCCACGAGAGTGGCCATCGAGGTGCGAATCACCGAGCGGGTGTGGGTTTGAGAGGGGTACCTCCCCCCACCCCACCCTTTCGCAAAATAAGAATTTTTTTAAAGAGTTTAAACGCTCGTAGAGAATTCTGGCTTAATAAAGTTGTTATGCGCAAATTGTAGACCTATGCCCACAACGATTTCATACAATTCTCCAACTCTACTCTCACTCCGAAATTTGTGGGACACGAGTAGTGCGGCGATTTACCAAAGGAGAGAGGCATTAAATACAATGCACAATCAATTACTAAAGCACATCTAGACTTTATCATCTAGAAGTTGAATTTCTGAATTTAGACAGGCCTATAACATAAATGTATCAAACAGGCCACATTCACACGAATTATATCAGCGTTTTTTAAAATTCGACTGTATTCATTGTGAAAATCAAAAATTAAATGCATGTTGAAACTGGAGTAAACAACTATTTAGTTTAATGCAACACAAATAGTTTGAATCTACTTAAGAAATTACAACTACACATTTTGTTGTCATTTTTGTATTTGGACAGGCCATAGCATCAAAGTATTTAATATCTTTCAAAAAGTTTTCAGGATATAAAAGGATATTTTTACCTTTAATGTATCAGCACTCTTTTAATTACATCTACATTATTATGAAAACTAAAAAAATGAATGTACGCTGAAGCTTTGAAACCAAATTAAAAAAATGTATTTTTTAACTTTAGCAGTCGATCTGAATTCATACAATAATGATGTATCAATAGTATAATAATTGTTTCTGACAAAATGGAATAGGCCTAATAAGAATTCCCGTACACATTAGTTTTCTTTTAAGTAACGGTGCCATGCTTTTCCTTTCCATTCATCATTATTGTCAAGAATGATTCTTTCTGACTTTAAATGTCAGAAAACGGAATGTTGACAATATAAAGATAGACAGGTCTGCAACATGATTTGACCAAGGCCTAGCTAGTCTGGAAATAAAGTCTAGTATAGCCCGAACTTTAGAGATCTACAATTTGGGATTTCTTTTCTTTCTTTTTCTTTTTTTCTTTCTTTTTTTTTTTTTTTTTTTTTTTTTTTGAGAATGGAGGATGGTTAGCCACGATATTCACCTCCTTCAATTTTATTTAAACGCTATTAAATTTTAAATCAAATGTTATTTCACTCAAGACATGATTGGAATACTGTAGCAAGAATCATCAAAAAAGGTGATTGAAACATGGGCAACAGTAATTTTATTGATTGTGTGATTTTTTTTTTAAATTATTTATTTTAACATAACAGATTTTCGCCTTGCGTTCTCATCTATCTACTGACCGTCATCCCGTGTATTTGGATATTGGAGTACGACTTGTATTTTCAGCGGCAGAAGTTCGCGGAAGAAAACGATGTCAAATGTGAAAAAGTGACTGTGACTTACAATATCTCGTCCGTTGACTTAGAAATCGTAAATCTTTCTCTAGCTTACCATTTTCCATTGTATACTGTTTTTTTTAACAAAGGGTGGCTTGATAATGAGATAATGATGTGGTAACTATGATGGTGATGACAATGATAATGACAGTTATGATAGTGGTGGTGGTGATAATGATGATGATGATGTTGCTGTTATTGTTGTTGATGATGATGTTGATGGTGATGATGATGATAGTGATGATGATAGCAACGACCGTAGGATGACGACGATGATGATGATGATAATGATTGTAGTGTGGTGGTGGTGGGGGTGAGGATGATGACGATGTGCTCACAGCAGAATAAATCTATTCTTTATTATCTCTATTATTACTCACGTAAAATGTGCTGTTATTTTCTCAGATACCGTTTCAAATTCACTTGAATTACCAGCAATGGTCTTTAGCACTGCAACAAATTTTCATATTTGTTCTCATCATTGGAAGGTGGCTTCTGCCGAAAGGACAGATGACACGTGATCAGCTTTCGCAACTTCTATTGGTCTATATCGGTATGGCTGCTGACATTCTGGAGTTCATCACCGAGGGAATCGGTATGGGTCCTGTCGGTTGTTCTGCCATTCTTATGATGATGGTCTTAGGCATATGGTCGTGGAGTCTAATGCAGTTCACTATCGGTCTAACTCTGACAAAACGTCGTAAGAATCGAGTCGCCGGAACTAGTTCGTCGCGGACTCGTTGCTCGCCTTGTGTCTGTTGTGAAACTGAAGTGTGGGCAATCATGGTAACGGTTATAATGCAAGATGGTCCTTTTCTTTCCATGAGAGTATATCTAATCACACAGTTCCATACCATGTCACAGAATATGATCTTTTTTACCGCAAAAAACGCACTTGTTCTAGTCTTGCAATTCTATCGTTTGATAGTACTTTTCTGTCAAAAAGAAAAGGTAGACAGTGTTGCGTCCGTGTCGTCCCTTGAACATCAATTGGCAGGTTCATCTGACCGCGATTTTGAATCAAATAATGCGATACAACAGCTTAATAAAAGCAACATCATCATCACTTCTAGCGTGGATGGTGATGTTGTAGATAGGTGGACGCACGTGATGCGAATCGATAATAAAAATCACGATTTGAAAGCAGACGATTCCTTTAAATCCTCGTCTTTGGTTAAGATTGCTGAAGACTCGCACACAGACGAGTATGATCACGCACAATCTAATGCGCAGGATAATCATGCTTTTTTGAGCAACGAACCCCCGAATATGGCAACTGGGAGAAGGAAGTCACTATCTATAAGGTCGACCAAATCTGGAATCGCTGCGCACGGCACCATTGGTACGAACGATGGTGACGGGTTTGAGTTAAATCAGGAATCATCAAAAAAACGAGAACGAAACGAACACAGTTTCTTCCCCAGCAGCCAAATAAGAGCTTACACTTCAATTGTATTAAATGCTATGACTTCTACAATTTCTTTAATTATGAGATATAAAGACCGTGCGCGTGCGTCGGACTCTATCTCTGACAACCAAGAAGTAAACAATTCTAACGTTGATGAAACCAATGTAAAAACTTTGGATAGTAAAACAACCGATACAAGGCCCGGGATTGAACATAACACATCAATGTTGTGTGTTGATATTTCAGTGGACGAGGACCAAGAAGAGACGTATGATAATGTAATATCCAAGGCCACCGTTTCTCATTGTAATATTAACCGTATTCATTTCACAGAAAATGAGGAAACACGCGTCTCAATAGACCACACCTTAAGAAATTCTAATGACGACTTAGAAAATGCGGTGAAACAAAGTGAAAGCGAAGACGAAGATACGGTCTTTTAATTAGAAACTAGATACATAAACAGTTCATACAGCTTACTGTAAAAAGTACTGTATAAGGCCTACATAAGTTAAACCATTAAATGGTAATCTATTTATATACCGGGTACATTAAATTCGTATAGGCCTATTGTTTGAAAAACAAAGATTAGTATCATCGACTGCTGCGTCGAAGTGTCTTGATTAAATAATACTGTGTATACGTGTAATAGGCCTAAAGTAAATTTTTATTTTTGTTAAGTGGTAATGAATGACGACCGAATTTACACTTAGAGGCACGCATCTAACATTTCTAAAAGAGGGAAGCTAAACTACATGTTTCAACCTATTTATCAAATATATTGGTACCGTATGTAATAGAATCTGTCAATAAAACACTAAACAGATCAAATTAGTTATAAAACTTCCAATTAGTTTTCATTGGTATATGCTTTTCTACTTAAACTAATTGTTACATTAGTTTTAAATTAATTAACCCAGAACCAAAAACAGATCGAGCAAAAACATTACGACATGTTAATAATATTGTGTACATCCCGTTTAACAGACTAGAAACAAGTATAAAAGATCTATATTATTATTAATGACTCATCATATTGGAATGATCTTCAAACCACCTTAGGACAAAACAAAATGACCTCTCTCCCTCCCAACTCTAAAAAAGAATATTAAGAAGGTGATATTTCAAACATTACAACTTTTAGTTAACTATGGCCGATGTAAATAGTAATTTATTTATAGGATTATCATTGTTGAATACAGTCAGTGATTTTACCCACCGTGCGCATTAAGGCCCATGTGCTTAAAGAACGCAGTACACTCTTCGAAAAAAAAATTGGGGTTGTCTCCCGGTGTACTACTCAGTCACAACAAGAAGAACCTAATAAAGATAAATAAGTAAGTCTTCTTCAGACGTTTGAGGGATTGGTGTTCACACCGAATAAATCGAGTTTTGATCTTTTGTAAATTTATATTTTTTAAATTTTGTACAGCGCCTGTGATCATTTTAATTGGATATTGTTTGCGCTATATTAAATAAAGTTCTTCTTATTATTATTATTTAATATATCCAATCTAAAACCGATTAAATAAGCCTTTGAAACCCTTAAATTGTCATATTTTTTCGGGGGCTTCGCCCCGTGGAACATTTTCGGAAGATTTTGAGCGACGCCCGACCACGCCCACTTTTTTTTGTCGGGCATCGCATCTCGTCGGGGTTTCTTTTAGTGATTTATTTGTTGAATCTTTCCCGACGTGACGCGACTAAACCGTCGGCTAATAATTTCTAAGCCTCGCCGTCTCATAAAACGTATGCAAACACGTGTGTTATGGGACAAGCGCATATTCCTGGTCCTGTTCCAATTGGTCCGTTGTTATGTGACGACATTAATCACCGTATCATTGTCAGGCGCGTAACAGGGGTCCTGGGTCAGGGGGGGGGAGGTAATAATTTCCCCGGTTAGTACCGTAATTTATCATACCCACCCCTCCCCAATATAGAAAACAATACGACAAAGGGCTTATCTTATTTATAATATAGGCCACACGAGTGTGTTTGAATGTGTTCAATTAACTTAGAAGGCAAAGGAGGACACCACAAGTTCTCACCCTCAAAAATGCGCTCGAAGCGCGCAAATTTTTTTTTTTTTTTGCAGTTTAGAGCTGGTATGTTATATATGGCCACACACGTTTTTTTTAAAAACTGAATATAAGCATTTTCATTATGGCTTTATTACGTATTCTTTCACCATCATTACACATTGAGGCCCTTCTTTTAGGTAAAACGATCTATCTTAAATTTTCATTTTTGAGTTTGGGACTATTATGTGTTTAAATAACTTAGAAGGCTAACCTTAAAAAAATCCTAAACAAATTGTGTGTTTTTAATTCTAATTTCGTCGAAATTAATCAAAAATCCCTAAAATGTGCAATTTTTAGAGGAGAAAATTGGCCTACTTTAACAAGAAATTTGAGATTTTTGGCACTTTCAGGGTGTGAAAAGGGGTGATCTTCAAGGGGTGGGGAAAGATTTTCCACAGGTGGATATTTTCCCCTTGTCCCCCGGCGGTGGCTACGCCACTGCGGAGAATGTCTGGCGGCTTAGATCAAAGAAGCTTTGGACACTTTTTGGTCAGCCCGGTAAAAAACGTCCGAGGGGTCTTCCCCTGCAATCTTCCCCCTTCCCCCGCCTGTTTTTCAGGGTTGACAGGCGTGCCACTATGTATGCCTACAAAACAACTCTCTTGTGTACAATAAATGGTCATGCAAATCACTGAAAAATGTAAGAACGAAAGAGCGGGAGACAAAAAATATTGGTTGCTAATAAATTTATATATATATATGTACATAAATATATATAATATCTATAGTTGTATCCGATGTTCCGTAGTTGTTCCACGTATGTCTCACAGAAATATATAAATATAAGCAAATACGAAATGAAACGTTAGCATACGTTGACATAATAGAGATAACATTTTATTCAAGACGAATATTTCGGACACGCCTGTGTCCGACTTCAGCGTTTACACGTATGAATGAGAAATACAGAACAGATCAAAATAAAAACTATAAGGAATTAACCAAGATAAATCGTAAGATAATAGGCACGCAATTAGTAATTGAGAAGTGATTAACTAATAAACTGTCGGTAGCACCAGGGAGTTGTTAATAACAACTCCCTGAGTTGGCGGTGAAATGGCCTATGACCAAAACAGAGCGAAATAAACAAAATGTCGGCAGTCAAAACAACTGATAGCACAATGTAATTAAAATAGTGACAAAGGGTTTATATGATCAAAATTATTACATAGGCCTATTATTAATACTGTTATTATAGTTATTATAATATTGATAGTTATTATAGTTATATAAATGTGATTATTATAATAATAATTTTATTATCATTATAGTAATAGATATTATTATTATTATTAATGTAAATTATCAATATAGGTATAGGACCACATAATAAATTACTTTGTGAAAGAATAACCGCTTATGGAGCCTAGATCTTTGTTAATATCAGTTTTGTGTGTGTTGAGTTTTGTTAAGTTGGATTATATAGCATAACCACTGAACCTGAGCATATTTACAGGACTGACCACAATTTTAAAAATTATTGACTTATGTAGTTTAATTCGATTTCGAAATGAAATCCGAGATTTTTTGCCTTGAAAATGATTACATATAGCATAATGTATGCTAAAACTCCTAAAACTAGAGCTTTTGCATATTTATATTTATTAATTTATAATTTATAATTGTCAAGAACAACAGCGTATTTTATATTTATTAAATGTTGAGGGCAGTTATGCTTTTAGTGGGGAATATCATACTACTGTAGGTAATTCAGTATATAGATGGTCAGGAATTTTTTAAGCAAACCTTTCAAACAAATTTTATACAATACTTTCCTCAACTAAATGATTCAGGAAACCAATTAATCTCATCTCTAAAAGCTTATTATACCCTCAAGGGACATGAAAAGTTGAGGTTAGCTTTGTGTTAAGATCTTCACATCATAATGGTTTCACTCTACATAATCATACATTTTTTAAAATCTTGATAAGTTCATTTGTTCTTTCTTAAAAACTTGACTGTATCTTTAGAGAGAATGTAACTCAGGCCAGATGCAATGGTTGTCAATGCAGTAGTGTACCTGAAACATATAGAAAAAGATGTTATGCTACAGAACTTAAAATTATTTGAATTTTTAAATACTTCGTAAGAATTTGTAGGCCTATTAGTGTATAATACTCATATCCGCATGAAGTATTATTGCTCATAGTGGCGGATCCAGGAATTCGTAACAGAGGGGGCCCAGGGAGGGATCACAGATAAAGGATCCACTCACCTCAGCCCCACCATGGTTGGGACCTCTAGATGGCCAGAAATGGCGCTGTCAGGATTTTAATACAATTGTTTTTTTTACTATGGAAAATTTAAGAGGGCCTGGGCTGGCTGGGCCTCCCTTAAATCCGCTACTGGATTCTGCAACTTCCACTCCCACACCCCAAAACTTGTCCCCCAAAGATTTGCACTTGTTCTCACCTTAGCATTTGGATGTAGGAGTGATCCACATAATTGAAGACAGGAGCACCAAGAGTGAATCCTACCAGCGCTAATGTAACAACTGTGTGCAACTTTACAACAAACAAAACAAATACTGTTATTGATTACTAGAATTGAAGGAAACAAACTAATGACAATAATGATTATTATTATTATTGTTAGTGAAAATGTTACCTTTCAGAGTTTTCGTTTTTCTGAGTCCGAGCTTTCGCTGTTGTCATAACAGCATCATTCAGGGAACTACCTTACTGGTTCTGTGACCAGTCTATGGTTGAACAGTCACGTAACAGCAGGTCACCGAAAGCTCGGACTCAGAAAAACGAAGACTCTGAAAGGTAACATTTTTACTATCATGCAAACAACGGAGTCAAATAGTAGTATACATGCTTGTTATTATCATTGTTGTCTTCTCAGAACAGCTTAAAATGGCCTAAAATTGCCCAATTTATCAAGACACAAGGTTGCTTAGTTCCCTAGTCCCTACCACGTTTTGTTCTTCAGCCCTGTTGGAAATTTTATATTTTAGAGCTGCAACTCCTCATAAGAGCATTTATGACTTACCATAATTAAAATCATAATAAAAGAAAATATTTTAAAATTATATAAAATTAAGGTGGATGTTCTATTGTCAACAAATTTAAAATGCTAATTAATTTAATGGAAAATATTAATGAATTAATGAAAAAGATTAATGGATTAATGGAAAAGATTAATTTATTATTAATAAATTAATGAAAAAGATTAATGGATTATTAGAAAATATTAATTTATTATAAATAAATTCATAAAAAAGATTAATGGATTATTATTGGATTAATGGAAAATATTAATGGATTATTAATACATTAATAAAAAAAATTAATTAATTATTAACAAATTAATGAAAAAGATTAATGGATTAATGAATTTTAATGGAAAAGATCATGACAATTTACAGGATTTGAACGGAATTCGAAAATGAGCACTTTATCAACAAAAAACATGTTAACGCCACACATCCTACAGTACCTTCCCAAGGAATGTTGGTTGCATCTGTATAGTAGCATGCCTCACATCGAAGAACCGCTGCAGGGTGAATGGAGGCGGTAACGATGTGAACCGGTAGTAAAAGCCAGCGAGTACTAATGCAATATCCCTACTGATGATTAAAGCTGTCAAAGGAACTAAATATTTAAAGAAAAAAAACAAACAAATATAAAACATAAAGTTAAATGCAGGAATGCAGTTATGGTGAGTGAAAGACCGTCCAGCCTTGAAGTTTTCCACCCAATCTAATGCTAATTTCATGGCCCTCCATCCATCGTTTTTTGCCTCCTTGCCCATCCTTAAAATTTACTATTATCTACGTTTGCCAATGTTATCACCCACCCACTGTAAAAATGTCTACCACCCACACTGAGATTTCTACACCTACAACCCTGTAAACGAAGTGCAAATATATCTTCTTTACGTTTCTTATATATTATGAATTTGATTTCTTTCACTAATAATATTCTAGTTGTATAATTTTTTTTTTTCCAAATCTTATTCATATTATCATAATATCCAAAATGTGATACCTGGTATAAGTTCTTGCATGGAAAGTGATATCATCAATATTCCAACTAGGAGCTTGTCAGCAATAGGGTCAAGAATTGAGCCAAGGACGGATTGCTGATTCTTGAAGTTTCGTGCAATGTAGCCATCAAGCTGAAACAAATACAGTATAATTACAAGAATAAGAGGTAATAAGAGCTTTTATTTAATTCAATTTTTCTATCACTTTCAATATTTCATTGTTCAATCAATCAATCAATCAATCAATCAATCAACCATTCAAATGTTTTATTTCCACACAAGTTCAAGAATGTACATCAATACAAACTTGTTTTCATTAAGTACAGTTTAGTGTGGGGGATGAGTCAGATAAGCCAATTAAGGCTTTAAGAATGACCCACCCCTTACAAGTATATACAGTAACTTTAAATATGAAATATATAAAAACAACTAAAAAGAAGGGGAAAACCAGTTAGATTTTATACACTTTATGGTTATAAATAATATGTTTATGCTTTAATATACAGTAAATCATGCAACACAACTCACCATATCAGTTATGCCGGTAAGTACAAATAATCCACAGCTGAGTGAGTAGTATTCATTGAGTACTAGGTATCCCAGTACAGGTGACAGAAAAATCCTTGATGTCGTCAGGAGATTCGGCACAGTCATGATATTCTCTCGCTATCAAAAATAATAAAATACAAATAACTGGAATTTATTGCGCAAGACTCTATTTGTATTTAAATTTAGAAACAAATCTAGCAGAGCAAAATAAAGAGAATTTTAAATTAGTTTGTTTTAATTTTCCGAACTTTTTGATCCACTTTTGATTAATTAATTGCTTGAATTTCAATCTTTGGTCAAAACAGTGTATCAACACTAGTGGATAAAAATCCATTCTCAAATAAAAATTTAAAAAAAACACAGCCATCAAAAAGTAACAGTATATTTTGAGCATTCTACTTACCCATTCTTTCACCTTTTCCTCAACTTTTTTGGTCACTTTTGATGCTTTTGTTTGGATCTTTCTTCTAGTGTATGTATACGTTAATGTAGACGTGCATTGATTTTGCTTCCTGTCTGAACCTGAAGAAAGCGTTGAGTAACATCTATTTTTTCCTGTCATCATCACAGGTTGGGTGTTCAAAACACTCAATAAATGTCTGTAGACTTCATAATAACTCGGATTAGGTGCAATGCATGTATTTTTGTGTGAAAATAAGTTTCCGTCTACACGTAAATCTATACTAGGCCCAGCCCTATCCGTCTGATGTAATGTGCCAACGACCATCTTCCCTCTGTGTGCCAAATCCGACAAACTGCGTCGAGAGAGAATTTGCTTAGGCTTAAGAAGGGTAAATCTACGAGAAATATTGAAGTTACTACTAATTAACCTACATGGTAGTATAGTCAGTGAATAAAACACCTTCATATTGAATATACATGCAATACTTCATTCCACACCATACTAAAAGTGCATCACAACTTGAATACTGCTGTGTGTGTTTATGCGGATGTTATTACATGGGCGCAGACATCTTTGTTTCTTTGAGCATGTTCAATAATATTATAATCTGTTTTTAAATAAATATTTAAATATTCAATCATGATTATAAACAAATCATTTAAAATTATTGTCTGCAATATCATTATTTATTTACTTCAGATGTGATTTATTTTAACTTATATTATGCGATATTTTTAATTTTTAAATTAGTGTTTTTTAATAATTTAGTCTGCTCACCGCAACAGCAGACTGTTATCGTCACCGAGAGACGTGTCAACTGGAAACGGCAATAGGCCTACAGATAGTCCTAGTTTCAATTGTATAAATAGTGATTTTATATTTCTTTACATTCCTGCTCAATGGAGGTAGTATTCCGCTATTTTGATTAACACTCATTACTTGAAATCCATTACTTGTTTTTCTAAAATACACGAGTATTGGTGGTGGCTAGGCCTGTTAACTCAGCCAGGCCAGGCTAGGCTAGACTATAGACTAGGCCTAGTTAGTATTGCGTACGGTAGTACTGATGTCTGTAGTACTGTGTGGGCTTAGTATCAGGTGGTAGTTATTATAGACTTGTTCAGGCCCTGTGCCTACCTGCAGACCTAGACTAGATAAACACCAGATGTATACTAGTGTTCTCCCAAATGAAACATTTTACTGTAAATTTGTCCATAAAAATTCAGTTAGCATGCAGTGTGAGGAATTGCCCCTTTTGAGTGGGGTTTAATGAGAGGGTCAATATTGGCCTACCGGCCTCTTGCACCACTCATTTAGAGTGATGTACGGTGAGTTAATGACATGAAAAAAAAAACATAGCCTAATAGTTCTAGACTGGAATAATGTTCCCTTATTGAAAGATGGCTAGCCTAGACCACCTAGGCTTTAAAATTTTTTTTTTTTAAATTCACAAACACAAAATTTTTACTGGTTGGCTGGTTATTTTTACCGGTAGCATTGACAACACTATATACCAGGTACTTCACTGTACTTATTACTACGGTACAATGTCGCACTTCACTTGGCCTACCTCATTATTAGGTTTTAATTAGTATTATCAATTTTTGAATGACTGAAGTACTAAAAGTAAGATAAATAATTCTTTATTTGTTATCATTTGAATTTGGATATTTGAACTAACCCTCTAGGAACCTGCGGCAGTGTCAGTGCAGCACCACCTGTAACATATTTATACGAACGCAAACATGTTTCCTTTTAATGCTCCAGTATTTTACAGTGTTAGATACTTTTGAGTTTACATGGACTGGTACACTACTTCTCTTTTAAACAATAGTATATCGTGTTTGTTGATTTCAGAACTCCACAGATGAAATTCCAATATACAACCCAGATCTTCTGAAACAGCTTGATTATGCAGCATTGACAAATTTAAAGTATTCAACGCCGAGATCACCGCAGAATCCAGGAAATTCATTGATTATGAGACCGTTATGTGCAGCCGACTATCATAAAGGTTCATTAATCTTTAACAGTCTTTATCAAAAATATCCAAGGGCGAGGCTTAGTGGAAATGTCTATGGATATATGAAGGGATTGAACATTATAAATATTGCATTTGATGAAGAGCACCTTAAACACTACTGTATTAAGTTACAAATACTTACGGCCAATTAAAAAAAAACTATATTTCTTCTTCACTCTCACAGTTGTTTTATTGTCTCATCCTTTTTTTTTTGGAAAGCCTGGAAACTATGTATCTTTTTTAAAAAATTAATAATTTGGCCTCTATTTTCTTCTTAAATTCTGCAGGATTCATTGAACTTTTAAGACAGTTGACATCTGTAGGTGATGTGACTCCGGAACAATTTATGGGTAAAACTTACTTCACTCAGACTGAAAACACAGTGGCTGCAGCACAGAGATTGGGAGCCAGTCCTGGTGCCGCCACTGTACAGATATCACATGATTTGAGTAATTTCTATTCAGTGTTTGATAAATACTGAAATTGTTTTTGTTAGTACAGTACTCTAATAAATATTTTATTCTCAAATATGATTATTGTATATATTTTTCAGACCATTTTCAGCAGATGAAGTCATGCAATGGTACTTACTATATAACTGTAATAGAGGATATATCAATTAGTAAAATAGTCGCAGCTGCAACATTGGTAGTAGAAAGAAAATACATACATGCTTGTGCTACAGTAAGTACAACTCCTGGTGTTCATACCTGCGCTGGATGAAGGAGAGGGGGTGCAGACGGTGAAATTTCTCTCCCCCCACCCCTCCAAATTGTATTAGGAAAAAATAATTGTTGTATTGTATCATTATGAACATAGTTCCGGTAAGATTTTTAACAAATGAGTGCAATTTCCAGAGAAGTTCCCTAACCACCATAATGGTGGGGCTAAAGTCCTGTGGACTCTCACGCACCCCCTACCGCCAGACCAAGCATCCAACCCAGTTACAGTAAGAAGCAACAACTTACATTACAACATTGGTGCCGTAGAGTTTCATTGATATTATTTTTTTTCCAGCGAGGAATGATTGAAGAGGTCGTAGTTGATTCAGGGTACAGAGGTCAACAACTGGGCAAACTGTAAGTCATTTGTATATACAGGAAACTTACATAGTTATTAATATTATTATTATATTGCCAATATAATAATTTATAATTAGTGTTCTACCTTTATGATGATGGTGATATAATAACACATCAAGTAGCGCAAACATCGATTCTTTTTATTTCTTCTTACACAAAAACGTCAGCTGCTTCTGCTTTATGTTTCCGGTCTGGTCTGGTTTTTTTTTTTTAATTCCCTTGTGTTTTTGAGGGATGTGTGATATAGTAATGCTGACTGGCTACTGTATATTTTTACAGAACAAAGCACAACCCAGACCAGCAAACCAGATGAAACTATTCAAATATATTATTATATCTTTTATAGTTTACCTCATGCATATACATATTCTTGTTCATGCACATTCATAATTGCTTCTTATGTAATTTCAGATTGATGGACACATTGACATTGCTTAGTAAACACACGCTGGGCTGCTATAAAACAACACTTCAATGTACTGAAGAAAATATACCTTTCTATGAAAAGTTTGGCTTCAAGAAAGATCCACAAGTTTACATGCAACATAGGCATAAACCTTAATACATATTTAATAGGTTTATTTAATTTTGTTTTTTTCCTTAAATTTAGTTATTTATCATCATATAAAATTTAACGCTTTCAATCGAGTGGATGTGAGCTTGTGGGGGGGGGGGAGAGAGAGAGGCTACCTACCACTTTTACTACTTAACTTATGAAGCTTTATACTGTACAATACTATGTGGACAGAGATTAATAGGAAATCCAGGCCTGTTAGTTGAATTATTCTCTCCTCCAAGCAACTAGAAGTAGTTGACATAATTCTCCTTTGTACCGAAGAATTTAAGGGATGGTGTCATAATTAATGTTGAAATATTGAATCCCGACACGATGGTGTGCATTTCGATACTTGGACTATGCATTATACTATCTTTTAAGGTGAAACATTGCATAATTTTGGTTTACTTTCTGGATTAAAGAAAATATGTATTTTTGTTCCTTGCCATCCCCAATCTGCCTAATTGCTTTAGATTTCAAAAATATTTTAAGGTATCAGTTTCATTGGGGATCAAATATATACAAATCCCCTCAGACTATCACACAGGTCAAGGGTCAGAATATTTGTATTTTTTCCTGAATATTATATAATGGTGGGCCTGCTGACAAGTACATGTTGTGTAATTATAAATATCTGCATTTTAATTCATGATAATAGATACAAATAATGATATGAATAATTAATTTTAAATTTTACCTCTATTTTTTGTTTAAGAGTGTTCAAATTTAACTTCACAGCAATAAGGGACTACGGTATTTTGTAGTAACATATTTATTCTGTATCTGATGTACTGTATATTTATAAATATCTGTCAAAGCCTTTAAATATTTTGATAATTGTTTGTAGGTATATTATGAAACTTCAAATTGAAGATATTTATATCATTTATTCTTTAGACACTTTATAACATTTTAATGCTTAACTGGCCTATGTTAGGTCAAGCTACTTTGATTTTAAAATTGACTCAATAAAATGTATTTTAGTGGTAAAGTTTATTACTCGTGCTCTAGTTTTGATGATAGTACTGTATGTTTAAAGAGATTACTGTCTGTGGCAAACATCTAGGAACCTTGATATAGTCTAATAGCAGGAGGGGGATATTGATTCCCCCTCCTACTAAAATAGATTCAATGAAAAAAAATTGAATCATTCATTTCAAATGGTCAAATACTTTACTAACACCTAAAGAGACAGTCAAACACAATTTACAAGGACTGATCCAAATCCACGATGTTTCTACAATGGTGAGGGGGAATTGTTAGGGGAGGTGTCCCTTTCTCTATAGGAATCCAGGGGGCTGCACCTTTAAGAATTTTAGACTTTTAATTTGCTACTTTAACATATTCACACTAGATTACATGTTCTTGCTGCTGGGAAAAGGGAAAGCACCCCAATCCTCACCACTTGATCTGCAACTGGGATTACTACAAAAATTACTATGAGTCTATAAATTCAAGAGAATTTTTTTTTCTTATTTGTAATCAGAATCTAAGAACTTAATACTGCATACAATACAATCAATTTAAATATTTAAAGTTTATTGGTTCAACAGACACTTTAGTGCATCCTCAGGTTTATTTTACATTCATAAAGCTGGGCGCTCACTGCCCTCGCACAACGAATCCAACTCCGCTCTCTGTGAGCGATAGATGACGCGACGCTGTCTGCTGATTGTCATTAAAAACGATCTGTTGCGTTTTTTATGGAATTGCGTCAACAGATGACCGTCGTGAGCTGTGAGTGCCAGTCTTAAAATTAGTGTACATCAGCATATTCAGTACTTCGCATTATACATTTCATATGCAAATTCTTCAGTATGAGTTGGATCATACGTTGCAGCAATTATGTCAATTTCTAAGGCAAATTCTCCATCAACTGCATCGGCCATCGTCAAACCAAAGCAGTTAATATTCTCTAAATCAACCAACTCTTGTCGATCTTGGATACGACCTCTGCTCGACAGGAAGAATTTGGAAAATGGAACCTGAAAAACGAGAAAAATTGAGACAATTTTTGATTGTGTAAGGCAATATACTAGTCCATTTCAGTTTCCATTTTTTTTGTTATACAAAAATACATCATTTAATTTTATCAACAATATTAAATAATGAATGTTTTGCAATTCCTGACATGAAATCTTGAATATCGAGGGTTGGTAAATAGCAGTTATATAAAAAAAAATAGGTTGGTTTAACAATCGACTTTAGCCCTGTGGTATTCAACAAAAAGGTATGAGGTGAGTGATGGTTAAAAAAGATTCATAGAATTGTAGCGAAAAATCCAGACCAGCCGACCATGATTTTCGAAAGATCGTTAAGCTGGGCAATCCTGCGCACGACAGTCGTCAGCCGATATGATTCTATTGAGAGCGATGATGCGCGTGCAACCCAACATCGCCCTCCAACAGATTGTTATTAATAACAATCCGTTCAAACTGTAACCGACCATGCCAGCCAACAGTGGTAGGACGCAATGAGTGTCTGGCTTTGTTCTTACCGTAGCTTCTTGCCAGTGTGGGCCTCCTCGAGTGAATAGAAAATAACTCCATATATCATCCTGTGTATCGGAATAATAACTGTCAGCGTAGAAATTCACCATGTATGAACGTCCATCTCCTCGTATCCGAAATTTCAACACGTTAAAGGGTGATAAGTCAATCTGAATCTTCTTTTCAAATGCACCCTTTAAAAACAGATAATGAACTGTAAAGATTAATATTACAGTATTGAGAATATTTCTTTTTATTCGGTTAATTATTACTATTATACTGTATGAATAAACAATGTTGAACTCTGATAGAGTGATCTAAATCATATTAAAAGAAAGTCAATAACACAGAATTCCACTAAATCAGATCTAAAACAGAAAAAGTGCATTGGCCATGATAGAGAGGAAAATTTGATAACAGAAATTTAAAAAGTGTCTTAAATCCTCATTAGAACAATATTTTATTATATGCCTACAATGAATATATTCTGAAATTCATATGACCAGTATTATTTTTCTGTTGCCGTTTACCACGGCAAAAAAACATACTGAAATACCGTATACTGAAAACAGAAAATTACTGTAAAGTGACCTAAAAATAACATCCAAAAGAAATTTCAAATGTGCATCTATTGCAAATGCAAACAATAATATACCAAAAAGCCTGTCATGTAGTTGATAAGGCAGTAGTAACCAGTGCAGTGGCGTATCCTGGGGGTGCTCGGGGGCGGGGTGCTTGAGCATCCATTCAGAGGTTGAAAAAAAAAGAGGCCCTTCTTAAATGTTATATGCCAAAAAATATATTTTATTTTGTCAAAAATAAAAAGAATTAAAAAGTAATTTAAATTCCATTTTCGGGTATCCAGGTACAAAATACTGAAAATTTTCTAACGTCACCACCAACCAAGGTGGCACTGATGTCGTGGTGTGGACTCTCTTTTCTTTAGCACCTCCCCCACCATTTCCTAAATCCTTGATAAGCAACTGGTAACCACAGGGTTAAAATTTAGTTTTAAATTCATTCAAACATCACCACCGACCAAGGTGGCCCTGACGTGCTGTGGACTCTCATTCCATTAGCGCGCCTCCCCCACCCCCAATTCCCTAAATCCTTGACAATCAACTGGTAACCACAGGGTTAAAATTTAGGTTTAAATTCATCAAAGATATAATTCAATGGTTAAAAATATTTTCTGCAAAAAAGTTGATTATATTTTCATTTCCAAATATTAAAAGTTGTCTAATTTTCCAGTGGAAGGTTCAAGGCTCCGCCACCCTCCAATTGAACAAAAAATGGAGAAAAAAAGGAAAATTGTATTCAAATTCAATCTGAGAAGAGTGCCATAATCATAAAATTTCTTGCCTCAGCCCCAACCATGGTGGGGCTGAGGCATTGGCGGATCTGAGGTCCTGACCCCCGACCCCCTTGGAAAAAAAAAAAATTCTCTGTCTACCCGTACACACATAGGCCTATTTACTGTACAGTGTAATAAGAATGAGAAAAAAATTACCTGACCGTTTTAAAAGGGGAAAAAAGACATTTCAGAATTCAGAAGTCACTGTAAAACTTACTCTATAGGAAAATTACACATTTGTCACAGTGTGTAGTGGAGTTTCAAATTCGCATGATTCATACTTACATACAATTGTTTCGATTTTAATGCACAATAACCACTCCTTTCGGTCTCCCCATCTTTTGGGACAACGGTGCTTAGTTCTCCGTGGAACAGGAGACGATTGTTCCTACTCATGCACAGTTTTGCCCAACTTTTTCCACCTATTGCATTATCAGTTTGAATGTTGAATTTGTTGACAATATTTGTATCACAGCTCATTATCACCTTATGTGTGTCATACATGGTGTCTAATTTTGACCCCCGTAGTTTGTCATAAATCTCACCCCTAAACAGCCTGAAGTTTCTTTTCCAATAGTTAATGACACTTTCTTCTCTAACATCAGAGCTGAGTGGCCTAATAGCTTTACATGGCACTTTTTTCAATATATGTTTTCCAAAGACAACATACAACCTTGATTTTGAAAAGACTTGCATTGTGTTACAGCAACCTGCAAAATAATATTAACATTCTAATTAATAAAATAAACAGCTTAGCCTAATGTGTAATGTTGGGGCCAAGGGCCTTAGGCAGGAAGGGCTGGGCTTTGAATGAGGAACTAGGCACCGACCTAGGCTAAATTGAAATAGGGCGCATCACATTTTCATCTGACTTGATTGGACGAATGACGGTATTCTTTTGCGGTTGCCCAAAATTGAAAGTTTCCAACAAGGCAGCCTGTCTATTGTCTAGACTTGCCTTGCAAAATGTTGTGTTCGACTAATTTGCAAGGCATGAGATTTCTGTTCTAAAAACATCTTTCACCCCTCCCCAAATGTTTTTCCATACATAACCAACACTGGTGGAAGCCTAGCCTAGTGCACCATTTATTTGTGTTCAATGTATAACAAAACCAATCCTATTTTAAGTACATTTATTAGATGATGAATATTTAGCAAGAGAGCCCTATCTAGACAGTTACTATATTTAGGCCTAGTTAGGACCTATATTTTTATTATAGGCAATAGAATATACATTTATTTATGAGTGCGATTTTGGTCCTTAACCTCGAATGCGTGAGTTTCACGCCGACTGCGTGACGTGAGCCTGGACGTGTATACCTAAGCCTAGCAAGGAAACTTTAGTTGTAAACAGGCTAGGCCTAGGTCCTATAATAATGCACAGCTACCCTACGCCAGACACATGCCTTCCTACTTTAATAACACTGCAGTAGTGTAGGCCTAGGCCTAGTAGTACCTAGCCTAGCCTAGGCTTCCTTGCCAAGGCTCCACCAACAAAGAACACAGCCTACAGGCCTGTGCATTTCCGGTCTCGTATGCATTTATTGTTTTCAACTTACATTAGTCAGACAGGTGATCCAATGAGGAGATAGTATCTATCAGTGAGATATATTTATACAAATTAATTGCTGAAAATTTTGATCAGTTTAAAGCACGATGTTTCACTGCAGTGACATCTATTACATAGCATAGCAACCTGCCTGACAGCGAAATCTAGCACAAGGCGAGGTTACCACTGACAAGAACAGAGAACACGTGTTATCCTCTTGAATACTCCACTTGGAAGTCTGACAAATAGGCATTGGGGGAGTGGCTTAGTTTGAGATAATTTCTTTTAATTTATCATAGTTGGGTGCTTCCACTGCATCCAGGGGAAGTTTGTTCCATTTTCGAACCGTTTTTGGTAGGAGCGAGTTCATATAAATATTTGTTTTGGCAGCAATTTCAAAAAGTTGAGCACTATGGCTCCTACGTGGTCTATTTACCTTTGGCAAACAGATATCTGGCTTGATAGATTTTTTTTTTGTTCCTAACTTTATAAAGAAATCAGTGATGGCGCCAGGACCTGCCCGACGGAGGGGCTAAAGGCCCCGACGGGGTGGGGAGGGGGGTTAGTGGAGCGAATCAAGTCTCACTTGGATAGGGGCCACGGATATTTGACGAATTATGGCGAATTTGTATTACTTATTTTATAGGCATCGAGCTACTATAATATGACTTCATGTAGGCTGTATGTTTTCTAATGTCGAGGAACTCAGCTTCGAAAACCAAAACATTTTGAATAAAACAAGAAACAAAGAGTATGCAATGTAACCATCTAATTTATTTTCAAATCCTCATTCTTGAAAGTGAAATTCTACATTTTGGAAATTTTGCATTTGTCAACGCTATCAAGGTCGTGGTTGCTTCCTCTATCACGATGAGAATTTGTCATAACAGAACTCAAATTATTTTTAATTAGTCTAATTGAACTATTATTAGGCCTATTATTAATATTATTATTATTATTTATTATTATTATTATTATTATTATTATTATTATTATTATTATTATTATTATTATTATTATTATTATTATTATTATTATTATT